AAGAAGCCCTTCAGCTGGGCGGCCGTCGCCGCGGGCGGCGCCAAACCCGGCGGCGGCCCCGCGTGGGCCGCGCCGGCGCCCCGCAAGCCCGCGCCGGCGAGGAGCTACGAGACGCTGACGCTCATGGTCGACGGCAAGAACATCCTCGACGGCGCGCGGCTCTACCGCGACGTCATCGACGAGGCGCTCGAGCGGAAGTTGGTGGCGCGCGTCGACGACATGCTCGCGCGGTCCGAGGCCGGCGCCCTGGGCGGGCGGCCCTTCCAGGGCATCAAGGGCCGGTCCATCAACCGGTCGCCCGGCGCGACGCGGACGGACGTGCAGTCCGGCGGCAAGTACGACGACTACAAGAAGCAGCGCATCGTCGCCGCGGGCGACGACGTCTCCGGGCGGCCCTTCGAGCCCGAGCCCATGCCCGCGGAGGCCCGGGAGCTCCACGACGCGCTCGTCGCGCGCGGCGTCGTGCCCGCGGAGCCCGGCCCGGAGATCTTCCTCGCGAACAACTACGAGGCGGGCCAGTACACGCTGAACCACATCGACGCGGCCTACATCGAGCGGCCGCTCGTCGTGACGACGCTGCTGTCGTCCGGCGACATGGTCTTCGGCAAGTACCTGAAGCGCGTCGCGCCCGGCGCGGCGCAGTTCGGCGGCAAGCCGGGCTTCGAGTCGCTCACGGTGTCGCTGCCCCCGAGGAGCACGCTCGTGCTCCGCGGCGTGTCCGCGGACGAGTGCCAGCACGCGATCAACGCCGTCGCCGAGCGGCGCATCTCCATCCTCCTCCGGCGCGCGAAGCCCGGCGGCGCGCCGGCGGCCGCCGCGCCCCCCCGGCGGCCGCGGAGAGCCTCATAGCCTAGTACGGGTCCGGGTAGTAGCCGACGCCGCGGTCGCCCGCGCGGAAGACCGCGCCGGGCCGGCGGCCGCCGTACGCGGGCCGGGGCACGAAGAGGAACGCGCAGAACGCGGCGACCTCGACGGACGTGCCGGGCGGCATGCGGCGGCTCAGGTAGAGGCCCGCGGCCGCCTTGCGGTCGAGCCACACGGCCCTCCGCCGCGCGCGCTCCGCGGCATAGGAGCAGAGCGTCGTCGCCGTCGCGCCGTCGAAGAGCATGGCGCACGCCGCCGCCAAAGCCGGGTCCAGGGGCAGCCCGAGCGCCGCGGACGGCGCCGCGAGGCCCTCCAGCGGCGCGCGCCGCCGCGCCGCCGTCGCCGCCGCCGCGTCGGCGACGGCCGCCGCGAGCCCGTCGACGGCGCCCTCGAGGCGGTCCGCGACGCCCGCGACGTGAACGCCGAGGCCGAGCGCGGCGACGGCACGGCCCCAGCGGGCCTGGTCCGCGTGGAGCGAGACGACGACGTGGCCGACGCCGCGCGCCGCGGCCGCGTGGACCGCGCCCGCGCCGCCGTGGGAGATCAAGACGTCGCAGCTCCGGAGCACGAGGTCGTGGTCGACGAAGTCGGCTCCCGGGCACCAGTCGCCGTCGTCGGGCCGCGGCCCGCCGTGGAAGAAGGCGCGGAAGCCCGCGCGCGCGACGGCGCGGCGCACGACGCGGAAGAACCGCGCCTCGTCGACGCCGAGCGACGCCAGGGGCACGGACCCGAAGCAGACGAGCGCGCGCCGCTCGCCGCCGCCGCTCTTGGGCTCGCCCCGGAGCAGCGCCGCGGGCACGCGCGCGTGGTCGAACCGCAAGTCCCGCGGCCGCCAGTACCCGCTAAACACGAGCGCCGACTCCTCGCCGCGCGCCGCGGCCCACTCCCAGCCCGCGGCGCGGCGCTTCGACGGCGCGGGCGCGCCGCCGCCGTAGACCGCGGCGCCGAGCGCCGGCGCGACGCCCCGGAGCCGCCGCGTCGCGCGGACCGCGGCGTCGACGTCGACGGCGCCCAGATGCGCGCGGCCCTCGCCGCCGCGCCAGACGCGCTTCGTGCGCCGCCAGGGCGCGTACCAGGGCGCCGCGAGCCCCGCGGCCCAGCCGGACCGCTCGTCGCCGGCCGGCTCGACGGTCGGCGCGCAGAGCACGGGCGCCGCGCGGACGGCCTCGGCGACGTGGAAGGCGTGGGCGCTGTGGGCGTTGAAGCCCAGGAAGCGGCAGCTCTGCGGCACGCCCCGCAGGAGCGACAGCGCGGCCTCGTGGACGAGCTCGAGCTCCGCGGCCGCCGCCGCCTCGCGCGCCGCCGCCGCGTCGCCGTCCGCGACCCCGCCGAAGACGCCCGTCGCCGGCGACAGCGCCGACACGCGCGCGAGGCTCGCGTCGTCGCCGAGGATCCGCGCGAGCTGTTCGTAGGTCTCGGCGCTCACGACGACGCGCACGCGCGCCAGCAGGCCGCAGAGCGCGTCGGCGAGGGCGACGAGGGGCAGGGCGTCGCCCAGCGAGCCCAGGGCGACGAGCAGCACGCAGGACTCCTGGCCGCTCGGGAAGCCCTCCAGCTGGTCGATGGCGGCCATGCCACTCTTCCGACCAACTAGAGGCACATCGAAGAGACGTTCAGACCGGGCAGCCTCGTGGCTTCACTCACTTCACCATCACCGCGCGACTAGACGTTTGCCTCTCGAGCATGGCGCCTTGATCACCGTTTTTGAGCGCTTCCGCCCGAAAGCGGACGCGGCCGACGCCGGCGCGACGCGCGAGAAATCGCGAGGAACACACACCGAAACGAATGGCGCCGACGTCGCCGCTGACGCCCGGCGGCTACAGCGTCGCGTCGTCGCGGAGCGTCTGGGACCCGACGAACGTGCTGTCTTCCGAGAGCGGGTCGCCGGAGCGGCAGCCGAGCGCGGCGGCGGCGACGAACCTCGCGTCGGCGTTCGTGGGCGCGCGCGTCGTCGGCTGCGGCGGCGAGCTGCCCGGCTGCGAGGCGGAGAACGCGCTCTACGAATCGCCGCAGCTCGTCTGGGAGCCGCGGAGCGGCGCCGGCGCGTGGCTCGCCGTGCGGCTCCGGGCGACGGGCGCCTTCCCGCGCCTGGGCCTCGGCCGCGACGCCGTGCGCTGCGTCGGCTGGCAGCCCGCGGCGGCGCCCGCGGGCCGGCCGACCGCGGTCCGCGTCGACGCGTCGTCGGACGGCGACGAGTGGCGGAGGATCCTGGACGCGTCGTCGTCCGACGACTCGGCCAAGGCCGTGCTCTTCGACCTGCGGTCGCCGCTGCGCCTCGCCCACGAGGCCTTCGTGCGCTTCACGGTCGTCGAGGCGTCCGGCGGCGCGCGGCCCGCGCTCGCCGCGGTCTACTGCTTCGCGGAGCCCGCGGCCGTCGCGCGCGCCGCGCTCGGCGACGCGCCGGCGGTTCCACCGCCGGCCGACGAGGCGGAGCCGGCCGTCGGCGGGGGCCCCGCGGCGCGCCGGTTCCTCGACGACTCCGCGGAGTCGCTCGCTAGGAAGATCGCCGCGCTCCGCGAGTCGGAGCTCCGGAGCCGCGAGCTCTTCCGGCGCCTCGACGCGCGCGCGGCGTCGTCGTCGCGCCGCCGCCGGGACCGCGGGGCCTCGAGCTCGTCCGCGGCCGACGACTCGTCGTCGGGCGCCGCGCGCGCGGAGGTCCGGCGCCTCGAGCGGGAATTGGCGGCGTCGAAAGACGCGCGCGAGGCCGCGGAGCGCGACTGCGACGCGGCGCAGAAGCGCGCCGCCGACGAGGTCGAGTCGAGCGCCGCGCGCGAGGCCGCGGCCGCGCGCGGCGAGGCCGAGCTCCGGCGGCGCCGCGCGGAGAACGCCGCGCTCCGCGAGGCCGCGGCGGCGGCCGAGGCGCGCGAGCGCGACACCGCTCGGAGCTTCCGGGACCGCGAGGCGGACCTGCGGCGCCGCGTCGACGCGCTCTCCTGGCCCCGCGAGCCCGAGGCGGCGCCGGACGACGACGACGACGGCGGCGCCGACGCGGCCGCGCGCGCGCTCTGGCAGCCGACGGTCTTCAGCGCCGCCGAGGACCCGGCGGTCGTCGAGGCCGCGCGCCGCGCGGCCCGGGCCGACGGCGCGCTCGCCGACGACGCGGAGCAGAGCCTCCTCGCGGAGCGCGTGCGCGAGCTCGCGACGAAGTTCGACGCGGTCGCGGCCAAGTTCCTCGAGTCCCCCGCGCCCGCCGCCGCGCCCGCCGCGCCGGCGCCGGACGTGCCGCCTCCCGCCGCCGCGCCTCCTGCGCCGGCGCCCGCCGCCGCGCCTCCTGCGCCGGCGCCCGTCGCTGCGCCGCCGCCGGTGGCCCGCGTCGACGCGCGGACGCAGACCTTCACGTCGCCGACGCCCAAGCGGCCGGTGCTCCGCGTCGCCACGGACCCCGTCGCCCCGCCGGCGCCGCCCGCGCCGGCGGCGGCGCCGGAGCGGCCCGCCGCGGCCGAGCCCGCGCCGGCGGCGGTGGAGCCAGCACCGGCGCCGCCGCCCCCCGCGCCGGCGCCGCCAGCACCCGCGCCGCCGGCACCCGCGCCGCCACCGGCACCCGCGCCGCTGGCACCCGCACCTGCGCCGCCAGCACCCGCGCCGCCGGCACCCGCGCCGCCAGCACCCGCGCCGCCGCCCCGCGCGCCCGAGGCGCCCGCGCCGGCCCGGGCCGCGCCGCGGTCCGACGACCGGCGGCGGCCGCGCCGCGCGGACCCCGCCGCGGACCGGCTCGCCGCCGCCGTCGCCGTCGCGCTCGAGAGCGACCTCGACGACCCGGAGACGCGGCTCACGCGCCTCCTCCTCAAGACGGCCCTCAAGGCCAAGATGAAGCAGCGGTCCGAGAAGCACGCGGAGCTCAAGATGGTCGAGTTCCTCGCGAGCGTCCGCAAGGCGAGGGGGCACGTCGGGTAAAAAGCTCGGAGGTCAGGGGTCGGAGTTTTGGGGGGGCCAGAGTTCGGGGCGCTTTACGACATCCGAGGCCTCATCCGGAGCCTCATCCGGGGCCTCATCCGGGGCCTCATCCGAGCGGACCGAGGCCGCATCCTGAGGCAGGCCTGCTATCCGATAGCGATTTTGCGGAGATCGAGTCGAGAGAGCTTTGGACCTCCCGATCGCAAGCACCGAGCCATGTCGTGGCGGGAGAAGAAATTGGAGTATGAGAATCGCATGGCCCGCAGCAAGGGCAAAAAACTCGACACTCTCAAGACCTGCACGATCTGCGGCGCCGACAAGGCCAAGGCGTGCCTAGGTTGCGGCACGACGGCCTACTGTTCGACGGACTGCCAACGCATCGACTGGCGCGACCGGGGCCACCGGAAGGTCTGCAAGAAGATCCAGGCCGCGGAGGCGGCGCGAGCCGAGGCCCCGACGCCCCCGCCGTCGCCGCCGCGGGACGTATTCTACGGCCCCGCGCCTCGGTCGGACGCCGACGTAATCCGCGCGCGCATCGCGGCGGAACACGAGGCGGCCCGCGTGCGGCGCGAGGCGAACCCGGAGCCCGAGCCGGCGTCGGCGCGGTACGGGTCGCGGTGCCTGATCTGTCTCGAGGATTGGGACGTGAATCGCACGGAGACCGTGATTCGCATCTGTTGCTGCCGGAGGGTCTGCCAATCGTGCGAGGACAAGATCGGCACCGGCGCGTGTCCCCTCTGTCGCAAACCTTACGAATGGAGCAATGAGGGGCAGCTCGCGCGTCTGCGCCGCCATGTGGAGAACGAGGTGCCGGAAGCGATTTCGTTGTTGGGAAATGCGTACCGCTATGGTGCCTGCGGTCTCGTGAAATCCGAGAAGAAAGCCGCGGAGATTTACCGGCGCGCCGTGGAGCTCGGGGACGTGGACGCGATGAATAATCTTGGGGACATGTACGAGACTGGAAGTGGCGTCAAGCTGGACAAGAAGAAGGCGGAGCGGCTGTATCGCGCGGCCGCAGATCGGGGCCACGCGGTCTCGCAATGCAATTTAGCGAATTTACTTCATTCTGAAAAGAAATGTGAAGAAGCGGTCCGGTACCTTGTGCTCTCGGCGGATCAAGGCTTTACCGCTAGTGAGGCCTGCCTTGGCGTTTGTTACAGGGACGGAGAAGGCACGGAAGTCGACCTCGGCAAAGCCAGATACTGGTTCGAGCGCGCCGCTGCCAAGGGCGACGAGTTTGCTATAGCGGCCCTCGCGCGCCTCGACGCGCGAGTATAGCCTAACAATCTTTATGCCGCGTCGTCGCCCGAGCCCGAGATGCTGCGCTTGCGCGCGGGCGAGTCGTGCTCGGCCTTGGTCGCCGCGTTCCTCTCCGCGCCGCCGACCGTCGCGGTCTAGGCCTCGCGTTCCTGAACGCGAAGCCCGCCTGGCGCAAGGCCGACGCCGCCGCCGAGGGGGCATGAACGCGATGATCTAGAGGCTTAGCCTGGGGTAAGATTTTGAGCGATTTTGCCCTTCGCTAAGACTTGGTGAGGAGAGCCACAACTATAGACCGCGGATGATGAAGGCCGAGTACGTCGAGAAGCAGCGCGAATACGAAGAGAAGAAGGCGCGGGCGAAAGCGCTACAGCTGCGTTTGACGTGCACGATTTGTGGGGCGAAACCGAGAACTTTGCTGAACTGCCCGTGCGGAACTACGCAGTATTGTTCGACTGAATGCCAACGCATCGATTGGCGCGAGCGGGGTCACCGAAAGGCGTGCAAGAAGATCCGAAGCGAGCGCGCGGCGGAGGCGGCGCGGGCCGAGGCGCCCCCGAAGGAGGTCTTCTACGGCCCCGCGCCTCGGTCGCACGCCGACGAGATCCGCGCGCGCATCGCAGCGGAACACGAGGCGGCCCGCGTGCGGCGCGAGGCGAACCCGGAGCCTGAGCCCCTCTCGGCACGGCTCGGGTCGCGGTGCCCGATCTGTCTCGACGACTGGGACGTGAATGTGAACACCGTGCTTCGCGTCTGTTGCTGCCGGATGGTCTGCCGATCGTGCGAGGACAAGATCGGCTTCGGCGCGTGTCCCCTCTGTCGCTTACCGCGCGCAGAAAACGATGCGGAATACCTCGCGCGTCTTCGCCGCCACGTGGAGAACGAAGTGCCGGAAGCGATTACGTTTTTGGGAGTTGCGTACCACATGGGTTACTTCGGCCTCGTGAAATCCGATAAGAAAGCCGCGAAGATTTACCGGCGCGCTGTGGAGCTCGGAGTTGTGCACGCGATGTCACTTCTTGGGGAGATGTACAACGAGGGGTGGGGCGTCAAGCTGGACAAGAAGAAGGCGACGAGGCTGTTTCGCATGGCCGCAGACCGGGGCGACGCGTGCGCGCAGGTCTGTTCAGCGGAGGACTTTTACTCTGAGAAAAAATTTGAAGAGGCGTTCCGGTACTTTGCGCTCGCGGCGAATCAAGGCTATACGCATGGGGAGTGTCACCTTGGCGGCTGTTACCTGACCGGAGCAGGCACGGAAGTCGACCTCGGCAAAGCCAGATACTGGTTCGAGCGCGCCGCTGCCAAGGGCTACGAGCCAGCTATAGAGAACCTCGCGCGCCTTCTCGTCTACATCTAGGCGCCTGCGGCCGCGCTCCAGCTCTCGCGCGTCCCAGATTCCCGTCACGATCCCATCCCTCGTCACTCCAAAACCTTCCCTAAGAATGCAATTACCACAGGCTCGATCGCAAAAACTCGGATCCAGACGGGATCGACCCGCTTCTGGACGCCAGACGACGATGGAAGGAGTTGAGGAGTCGAAGACGAACGAGGCGCCGCGGCCGTGGGAGAACAGCGAATTTGAGCAGAACTTGACGCTCGAGCTCGCTGATGGCTCAGGTTCTGTGCACGTGAATCGATCGATTCTCACGACGTATTCAGCCCTTGTGCGCGACTGCCCGAACCTCGACGAGCCTATCCCGATCCCGGTCGGCTCAATCTCGGCGCTCTCGACGCTCCTCCGCGTCGTCTACTCGCACGCGCTCGTCCGCGAGCAATTTTCCTTCGCGTACGACGTCTTCGACGTCGTCGCCGATGTCTACGAGCTCGCCGTCTTCATGGGCTGCCACAAGATTGTCGAAAATCTGCGCGCGGAGATGAAGGAGTCGCTGTCGAAGATCGTCGACATGAACCAGTTCTCCATCGACCACGTGCGCGTCCTCGATCGCGTCTTCTCCGCCTTGATCGTCGTCGAGTCCGTGACCCGCGGCCATCTCTGGACGAAGGACGAGTTCGTCTGCCTCTATCGCGTCGTGCAATTCGGCGGCGAGCACAAGGATTTCTCGGAAGCCAACGCGAAGCATTATACTTCCGCGGACCATGCTCAGCCTGCTTCGCGTCGCGTCGCAGACCGAGTCCATGCGAGTCCGGATCAACGGGGAGATGACGCGCCAGCCCAGCTGGTTCCCGTGCGTCGAGGGTATCGAGCTCAAGGATGCCTAGACGACCCAGGCCGTGAAAGTATTGTGTTGGTTGGCACGGATTCGGGTGTCTTACCATGAAAGGCGCCGGCGGCCGCGCTCCGGGCCTCCGGCTCTCGCGCGTCTCGGAATCCCGTCACAATGCCATCCCTCGCCACTCCCAAAATCTTCCCTAAGATTGTCATGTCCCGAGGCTGTCCTATTGCAGAGGCTTCCGGACGAGGCGTGGGCAGGGTACGCCCGGCGTGCTTCAGCAATTTTGGGGTTGCAGCGACCAATCGAGTCGAGAGAGCTTGGCGACGCCCCAAAGGACGCGCAGGAGTGATGTCGTGGCGGGAGAAGAAGTTGGAGTATGAGAATCGCATGGCCCGAGCGAAGGGCAAAAAACTCGACACTCTCAAGACCTGCGAGATCTGCGGCGCCGACAAGGCCAAGGCTTGCGCAGGTTGCGGCACGACGGCCTACTGTTCGACGGACTGCCAACGCATCGACTGGCGCGACCGGGGCCACCGGAAGGTGTGCAAGAAGATCCAGGCCGCGGAGGCGGCGCGGGCGGAAGCGCCGACGCCCCCGCCGTCGCCGCCGCGGGACGTGTTCTACGGACCCGCGCCGCGGTCGCACGCCGACGAGGTCCGCGCGCGCATCGCCGCGGAGCACGAGGCGGCGCGTCTGCGGCGCGAGGCGAACCCGGAGCGGGAGCCGCAGTCGGCGCGGTACGGGTCGCGGTGCCCGATCTGTCTTGAGGACTGGGACGTGAATGATGCGGGCTCGCTTCGCATCTGCTGCTGCCGACAGGTCTGCCGATCGTGCGAGGTCAAGATCGGCACCGACGCGTGTCCCCTCTGTCGTGTACCGCGCGCAAGATCCAATGCGGAGGAGCTCGCGCGTCTTCGCCGCCACGTGGAGAACGAGGTGCCGGAAGCGATTGCGTTTTTGGGACATGCGTACAGCCACGGTCGTTACGGTCTCGTGAAATCCGATAAGAAAGCCGCGAAGATTTACCGGCGCGGCGTGGAGCTCGGAGACGTGGTGGCGATGACAAACCTTGGTCGGTTGCACGAGACTGGAAGTGGCGTCAAGCTGGACAAGAACAAGGCTGAGCGGCTGTTTCGAATGGCCGCGGATCGGGGCGACGCGCTCGCGCAAAACAATTTAGGGAATGTACTTCGCTCTGAGGGGAAATTTGAAGAAGCGTTCCGGTGCTACGCGCTCTCGGCGGATCAAGGCTATACCATTGGAGAGCATAACCTTGGCTGCTGTTACTACTTTGAAAAAGGCACGGAACTCGACCTCGGCAAAGCCAGATACTGGTTCGAGCGCGCCGCTGCCAAGGGTGACGACAAAGCCACAGAGTGCCTCGCGCTCCTCGACGCGCGAGTATAGCCTAATTCTTTACGCCGCGTCGTCGCCCGAGCCCGAGATGCTGCGCTTGTGCGCGGGCGAGTCGTGCTTGGCCTTGGCGTCGTCGCCGCGGCGTTGTTGTTCCTCTCCGCGCCGACCTTCACGGTCTGGTGTGCGCGGGCGAGTAGGGCGACGAGTCGTCCATCGCCACCCTCGCGACATTAGACACCCACTAATCTACGGCGAGGCCTACGGCGGGGGGCGCCGGACGGCGTCTCGGGAGGCCTTCAGGCCTTGGCCGCTCGGAGCGGCCATCTTGTGGCGAGAGCAGAGAAACGCCAGAGCCGTCGAGAACCAGCCTCAGCCGCCGCCATGGAGCTCGAGGTCGTCGTCTCCAAGGGCCGGGGACTCCTCGCGATGGACACGTCCATGTTCAGTAAATCAAGCAGCGACCCCTACGTCGTCGTCGTCGTCGAAGGCAAAGAAATCGGCCGCACAGAAGTCATCACGAAGTCGCTCAACCCATGCTGGAGCGAGCGCACGTCGTTCCGCGCCTTCGTCGCGGGCACGGGCCCCGTCTCCGTCGAGCTCCGCCTCTTCGACAAGGACAAGCTCTCGCGCGACGCGCGCGCCCGCGTCCGTCGATTCGTCGTCGACGAAACGCGGACGGGCCCCGGCGCGGCGCGCGCGAACCCGCCCCGCGCGTCGGATCACGCGCCCGCTCGACGAACCCCCCGTGAAAACGTGGACGGGCCCCGTTGCGGCGCGCGCGAACCCGCCCCGCGCGTCGGAAAACGCACCCGCTCGACGAACCCCCCTGTGAAAACGCGGACGGGCCCCGGCGCGGCGCGCGCGAACCCGCCCCGTCGGAAAACGCGCCCGCTCGACGAACCCCCCCCCGCGAACCGCAGGATCCCATGGGCGAGCACAAGTTCGACGGCCGCGCGGCGTTCGCGGCGACGGGCGGCGCGGCGCGCTGGGTCGCGGTCGCGCCGTGCGCGGGCTGCGCCAAGGCCAAGGGCGAGCTCGAGGTCGCCGTCGCGTTCGCGGGCGGCGCCGCGCCCGGCGGGTCCACGCTCGCGCGCGTCGCGGGCGCCGTCGGCGCCGCGAACGACGAGCTCGTCGCGAGCGAGGCGGCCTACGTGAGCGACCTCAAGGTGCTCCGCGACGCCTTCGAGGGCCCCCTGCGCCTCGAGATGGGCACGAAGCAGCGGCGCGTCGAGCAGGTCGGCGTGCTCGAGGTGCTCGACCGCGTCTTCGAGGCGCTCGACGTCGTCCTCGCGCTCGCGGAGACGAGGGTCCTGCCCGCGTTCGAGGCCGCCAAGGCGTCGGGCGCGTGGGCCGACTGCTTCGAGGCCCTGGCGCCGGAGCTCTGCGACGCCTACGGCGCCTACGTCGTCGCCTACGCGTCGGTCTGGGAGACGTGGTCCGCCGCGCGAACGAGCGACGGGGACCTCGGCGCGCTCGTCGACGGCTGCGAGGCCGACGTCTCCCGGAACCCGCGGAAGCTCACGATGCAGGCCCTGGCCATCATGCCCGTGCAGCGCATCGCGCGCTACGAGCTGCTGCTGAGCGCGCTCCGCAAGGCCGTCGAGAAGCACCGGCGGCCCCTCGGCTTCCGCGACGACGCCGCGGGCCTCGGCCGCGCCGAGGGCCTCGCGCGCTTGGCCGCGACGGACGTCAACGTCGCCGCGGCGACGACGACGGCGAGCCACAGCCTCCGGCTCAAGGTGCTCCGCGGCGCGGGGCTCGTCGACAAGGACCGGTCCGCGCTGAGCTTCGTCAAGGGCAAGAGCGACCCCTACTGCGTCGTGCTCGTCGACGGCCGCGAGGTCGGCCGCACGTCCACGCAGAAGCAGACGCTGGACCCGGACTGGACGGGCGCCGGCGCCTCGGGCGACGACGACGACGACGACGCGTGCTTCGATCTGCTCGTCGCCGAGGCCTCGCGCGTCCGCGTCCAGATCTTCGACTGGGACCAGTGGTCCGCCGACGACCCCATGGGCGAGGTCAACGTGAAGATCTCGGACCTCCTCGAGGACTGGGGCCGCTTCTTCGCCGCGCGCGACGCGCACGGCGCCGCGGTCATGCGCGGCGACTACGACGACCCGTCCGTGGAGCGGTCGCTCTGGATCACCGTGGAACCTACCGACGGCTGCCGCGTCTGCGGGCGCTTGCAGCTCGCGCTCGCGCTCGCGACCTTCGACAAGCGCGCCGGCGGCACGCAGACCTTCGCGAAGCCGCGCGACGCGAAGCGGGCGTTGACGCACGCGCTCTATCTCTGGCTCCCGCGCGCGGACGACGTCGCCGCGCGCGGCGCGGCCTTCGAGTCCAAGGCCAACTTCCCCGACGCCTACGTCGTGATCTCCGTCGCGGGCGGCGAGGAGGGCCGCACGAACGTCGACCACCGCGCGACGCAGCCCCGCTGGCGCAAGATCAACGCCATGCACGCCGTGCCCGTGGGGCCGACGGACGTCGTCGACCTCGAGGTCCGCGACTGGTCGCGGCGCGGCGACTCGTCCGGCGGCGGCCTCGGGCGCGCGGCGCTGAGCGTCGCGGCTCTGCTCGCGGGCGACCCTCTCCCCGACGCGGACCTGAGCGGCGGCGCCGCGCACAAGGGCCGCCGCGGCACGCTGCTCCTCCGGTCGCCGTCCGGCGCGCCCTGCGGCCGCCTCCACGCGCGGCTGCGGCTCGTGGCGCTCAACGCCGCGGACCGGCCGGCGCGCGTCACGGAGCTCACGTTCGCGGGCGCGCGGTCCGAGGCGCCGCCGACGGCCGCCGCGACGCTCACGATCGCGGCCGCGCGGGGCTTGGTCGCGTCGGACATCCACCTCACGTCCAAGCCCTCGAGCGACCCCTACGTCGTCGTGCTCCGCGACGGCGTCGAGGTCCACCGCACGAAGACCGTGAAGAAGAACCTGAACCCGACCTACGACGACACCTTCGAGGTCGACCTCTCGCCGCGCACGAGCCGCCTCCGCTTCCTCGTCTTCGACTACGACCGCCTCACGGCCGACGACGCCATGGGCGAGGTCAACATCGACGTCGCCGACGTCGAGGACGCCGCGCCAAAATGGTACGACCTCGAGGCCACGGGCGGCTGCAAGGCGACGGGCAGCCTCCGCGTCGCGGTCGACGTGCCCCGGCGGGACCCGCTCTCAGCGGCGGCGGCGCTCGCGAGCCGCAAGACGCCGCTCTCCGCGGCCGAGGCCGACCAGGTCCGCGGGCTCATGCAGAGCCGCGCGGCGGCCGCGCCCGCGGCCGATCCGCTCGCCGCGGTGCTCGCGGCCGCGGGCCTCGAGGGCGCCGCGCCGGCCCTCGCCGCGGAGAAGGTCGGCCTGGACGACCTCTACGGCGCGCTCGACGCCGGCGACCTCGCGTCGCTCCTCGGCGAGCTCGACCTCAAGGCCGGCGACCGCGCGCGCCTCAAGCGCGCGCTCGAGGCGTCCCGCGCCGCCTGAAGGGGCGTCCGAGTCCTGCTTGTAGGAACTCTGAAGCGAAGCGCCACACCGCCCGCCGCCAGTCCTAGGGATGTTACGGCAGCGCGGCCTCGGTCATGCGGACGTCCTCCCCGTCGCGGCGCCAGCCGCCGCTCTCGTCGCGCCGGAGCCGCGGCGCGAAGCGGACGGCGCAGACCTGCTCGTCGGGCGGCGGCGGCGGCGGCGGCCGCGCGTGCTCGTCGAGGACCTCCAGGTCCACCGTGATCGCGTACTGCATCTCCACGAGGCCGCCCGCGGGGAGCCAGACGTTCTCGCAGACGACGACGTTCGAGTCCGAGTCGTCGGCGACCGCGACCTCCGCCGTCGCGATGGGCGGCAGCGACGCCTCGACGACCGCGCCGCCGACCTCGCGGCTCTCGCTGCCGCCGGGCAAAATCTCGACGCACCGCGCGCCGACGAGGCCGTCCGGCTCCGCCTCCGTCACCCGCGACTCCGACGCCGTGAGCCGCGCGACGGCGCCGTCGAGCTCGTCCATGGTCGATGTGTGTGTGCGTCGATGGCTGTCGATGTCGATGTGTGTGTGCGTCGATGGCTGTCAATGTGCGTGCTCCTGCCGCAAATGCTCGGCAGGCTTCGATGGCTGTCGATGTGCGTGCTCCTGCCGCGATGCTCGACGCGCTTCGGTGCGCCCGCGCGCGGCCGCCGCAGCGGAGAGCAGCTCCGTCGAAGAACTCGACGAGTCGTTCAAGTTGCACAGCAAGTTGCTCCTGGTTCGAACGCGCGCCTCTACCGAACCTGCGGAGGCGGCGGCAAGCCCGGCACCGATACGAGCTTGGATTAAGATTTCTGCCCCTCTCACCGGTCGGTCTTCGTTCGGACGTCCTCGACGAAGTCGACGAGCTCGCTGTGGCTGTCGGAGCGGTGGAGCGACTGGACGAAGCCGAGGAGGAGGTTCGCGGGGACCGTGTCGCCCGCGGGCCTCGCCGCGGGCGCCGGCGGCGCCGCGCGCGCTTGCGGCGCGGCGGGTCCCGGCCGCGGCTGGCAGGACTGCATGATGAACGCGTCGATCGCCGGCGTCGACACCACGTCGTGCGAGTGCAGGAACCGCGCCTCGAGGTCGATCATGCGCGCGTCCTTGGATTCCGTGGACCGGATGCAGGCGTCGACGAAGCGCGCCTCGAGGACGCTCAGCTCCTGCTGCGCCGCGGCGACGGACGCCGCGGACGGCGCGACCGCGGACGCGGAGTTGCGCTGCCGACCGGTCTGCGAACGCGGGGCGACGGTCAAGAGCTATAAACGCGCGAACAAGCTCGGACGCCGCGGCACTGACCGACGAGTGGAAGACGCGCTTGCCGAGGCAGGACGCGCCGGAGAACTTCTTCGTGATGCGCATCGGGTCGCAGCTGAGCTTTTGCGCGAGGTAGCTCCGCAGCGTCGCGCCCTCGGGCAGCTCGAGCAGGCCCGTGTTGAAGAGCTCGATGATGCGCGTCGTGAACTCCGTCTCCTCGATGGTCCACTTGCCTACGCATTGCGGCGGCTCCGGCGGCGGCGCGTGCGGCGCGTGCGGCGCGCTGCGCACCTTTGCGCGTCGTCGCGCCGTCGTCCTTGGCCTTGGCCTTCTTGGCCTTCTTCGGCGGCGGCTCGTCGCCGGCCGCGGGCGCTGGTGCAGCCGGTGCCGGCGCGGCTGCAACCGGCGCCGGTGCGGGCGGCGGAGAAGTGGCCTCGGCCGGAGGCGACGCCTCCATCTTGATGATGATGGATCCTCGATCTGATTTTGTCATGTGAAAGCAAAACCTCAAGCAGGTCCGGGCTGCCGCTCGTGCTGGAAGACGGCGGCCTCCTCGACGGCGTCCAAGCCCTTGGAAGGGAGCACGGCCCCGGCGTCGGGCCCCTCCTCCTCGATGACGTCGTAGAGGAGGTCGTCGTCGAAGCGCCGCAGCGCTCCGCAGTCGACAAGCGACTCGCGACCCGGCCTAGGAGCGCTCCGTCGGCTCGAGCGAGCCACAGTCTGGCACAGAGCATCCTTGACGATGGTCGTGATTCTCGGCGACGGCACGATCGTGAGCGACGACGATCCGCGAGCGAGACGTCGCCAGGTCAAGTCGCAGTGGCCGAAATTTGCCGGCGCGGCGGTGCTCGTCGGCATTGCGGCGCACATGCTCTTCATGGCACCCGCGGTTCCCTGGAAGGACGGCAAGATCCCGGCCGCGCAGCGCGTCGCCGGCGCGCATTGGGACTACCTCTCCCGCGACCTGTTTTTGGTGCGCGAATACTCGCGCGCGTCGAAGATCAGCGGCGCGCCGCCGTCGATGCTCGGCTATCTCACGCGAGAGAAGACGCTCGACGCGCGCGGTCGCGAGGTGGACTACGGCGGGGCGGACGGGTCGCGGTTCGAGGACATGTACTCCGACACGGGCGACCAAAAGTTCGCGATCGGCACGCGATGCGCGTCGACGCTCTTCTCGCTCACGGTCTATTTTTGCGGCGCCGGGGCCGCGAACGATCACGCCGGACTCTACGGCGACCACGGCGCCGACGCGCTCGAGCGCTTCATCAACGCGACGCGCGCGGAGGCCGAGGACGGCGGGTCGTACCCGACGTTCGTCTACCGCCTCGGCCTCGGCCAGTACGAGCGCTCGGAGCCCGGCCTGGAGCACGTCTGGATGATCGCGAGCATGCCCGACGGCACCTACCGCTGGCTCCAGAGCTACATCAGCCACTACGCGCTCCAGGACTGGATGAAGGAGGCGGCGCGCCGCGGCGAGCAGTCGCTCACGTTCGCGCAGCTCTCGCGGAAACTCGAGGACTTCCGCGCGCTCCGCGCCGCGTCGTCGACGGCGTGGACCCGGCGGGCCAACGACCTCTACGCGAAGCTCTTCTTCGTCGACGTCGCCAAGACCGACGCGAACTTCATCTCGCACTACTCGTCCGCGCACGCCTTCAACGACCTCCGCTGGGACGTCGCCTGCGCATTTCCATTGCGCGAGGACGATCCCTACCACCCGGGCTCTGGCGACGACACGCGTACTCGGCCCGGGTCCCGAACGCCGCCCCGCACACCTCTCTAGCGCGAGTTACGCCCTAGAGCTGGAAGACGGGGACGCCCTCGACGTCGTCCACGGGCGAGAGCACGGGGCCCTCGCCGTCGGGCCCCTCCTCCTCGATGACGTCGTAGAGGAGGAGGTCGTCGTCGACGACGAAGCGCCGCGGCGGCGTACTCGACGGCGGCGGCGGCGGCGGCGGCGACTCGGCGCCCCGCGGCCGCGCGCGCGTCGGGACGAAGCGCCTCGCGCGCGCGAGGCAGCCGTAGACGTGGAGCGCGGCGAGCACGGCGACGACGAAGAATCCGCACGCCAAGGCGAGGCCGACGTAGAGCCCCGCCGTCGTCGCGTCGCCGCCGTTCTTCTTCTTCGACGATGGGATCTGGGGCGCCGGCGTCGGCGCGAAGGTGGCCGTCGGCGCGCCGCTCGGCGCGGGCGTCGCGACGATGGCGCCGTCGTCCGCGACGGTGAGCGCGTAGACGCCGGCGGATACGGCCAGCGTCGCCCCGTTGACGGTCAGCGCGAGCGACGCGTCCGAGAACTCCGGGAGCAGCTCGACGCGGAGCTCGAGGCGCCGCGCGTCGTCCGGCCGGCAGACGCTCACGGCGTCGCGGCCGCCGTAGGCGGAGCCGCCGTCCTCGCTCCAGAGAAGCGTCTCGCCGTCCTCCAGCAGGGCCGCGAGCTCCGCCCGTTCGACGGTCGCGGCCCAGCGCGCGCCGTCCCGCGCGAGCGCGACGACGTGGGCGCGGTCGCAGTCGAGGGTCGGCGTCGGCGTCGGGCGGCCGGACGGCGCGGCCGTCGACGGTTTCGGCGTCGCCGTCGGCGCGGCGCTCGGTCGGGCGGTCGAAGGCGCGGCCGTCGTGGGCGCCCGCGTCGGCGGCCGCTGCCGCGTCGGCGAAGCCGTCGACGGCGACACCGTCGGCGCGCGCGTGCGCCAGCGGAGGACGACGTCGGCGGCGATGGCGGCCATGCGCGCGAAGCCCGCGGAGTTGGGATGGATGGGGTCGTCGTAGTGCGACTCGTCCGTCAGGGCCAGGTCGAAGGGGACGAAGCCGTCGACGTCGCCCTCGAGCTCTTCGAGCATGGCCGGGAGCTCGTCGTTGATGAAGCTCGCGTCGTCGCCCCACTGGTCCGCGAAGCCCGCGTTCCCGTAGCGCACGGGGATCCCGACGAGCACGACGGGGGCCGGGTCCCGCGCGCCGCGGACGTCGGCGATCAACTCGCGGTAGGCGGAGACGTAGGTCTTCCGCGTCTTCTTCACGTTGTCCAATTTCGCGTCGTTCGTCCCGAACATGAGCACGGCGACGTCCGTCGGCGCGCGCAGCAGCTTGTCGTATTGCGAGGAGTCCCGATAGTCCCGCGACGTGTCCGTCACCGTCGTCCCCGACCGCCCAAAGTTCTTGACGTCGTAGCCCCGCTCGCTGAAGGGGTCCGCGTCGCGAAGCAGCCTCGCGAGGCGGCCGGGGTAGTCGTCGCCGTCGTCGCCGGCCGTGATGGAATCGCCGGCGCACGACACGGTGAAGCGCGTCGCCGTGGGCTCGAAGGTCGGCGCCGGCGACACGGACGGCTCGTAGCTCGGCTCGGGCGTCGGCGTCGGCGTCGGCGCGTACGTCGGAGATCGCGTGGGCGCCGGCGTCGGCCGCGGCGTCGTCGGCGCCGGCGTCGGCCGCGGCGGCGGGCAGGTGTCGCAGGTCTTCGGACACGCGACGTCGGCGCGCACGCCGTCATCACCTTTTTTATCGCATCGAAGCGATGGGTCCTTTTTGACCCAATCGCAGTCTCGACCGGGTTTGTCCGGCCGGTGCCAATCGGCATCGTCCCGGCACGCAAACGCGCACGCGATCAATGCCGCGAACGTCGTCGCGCCGCGCATCGTCGACGAGTCGCCACCCCCCGCCGGACGCCCTCAGGAGGCACGGCGCGGCAGAAAAAAAGTGGCGAAAATTTGCCTCGAAGTCCTCCGCAGGACGCGGTCTCTTATTCATGTATCACAGAGCACAGGGGCGCGCGTCACGCGTGGGTCCGCTGGGCGATGGCGGCCTGGAGGATCTCGTCCTGGAGCACCGCCGTGTCCTCGGCGACGAGCTGGATGGCGCGGACGAACGTCGCGCGGTCGAGCTTCCAGCAGCAGCACGCCTCCTCCGCGCGGATCGTCGCGGCTCGTTTCGCCTCGGGCGAGAAGAGGGCGAGCTCGCCGAAGCTGCTGCCGGGCTCCGTGTACTCGCCCACGGTTTCGCCGTCGATGATGACGCTCGCGCGGCCGCTCTCGACGACGTAAAAGTAGTCGCCCTCGGCGCCCTGCGCGATGATGTCCGACCCCTCGGGGAAGAGGGCGCCCTGCATGGCGTCGACGAGCTTCGCGAACTCGTCGTCGGAGAGCTTGCTGAAGCTGACGTGGTTCTTCAGCGCCGTCAGGAGCAGCTCCTGCTGCGCCGGCGTCGCCGCGCTCTCGACGGAGCAGCCGATGGACGTGAAGAAGGACATGAGGTAGTCCATGGCGGCGCCGCCGGTCGCGCGGGTCTCGTGCCGCCGCCGGAGCCGGGACAACCGCGCCGCACGGTTACGACGACCAGAATCGCGCGCGCCCGCAGGATTCCAGCCCGGCCAGTCGATCAAACGCGCCAAATCGGGCAGCCAATGCAACTCCCAGGCGTGTTGCACACCAACATCGCCCTGGCTGTGGCAGCTCTCGAGGTGGACGCGGCCATGTGGTCCCGTCCGGCCTGGCGAGGCGCCGCCGCCGCGCTCCTGCGGCGACGGATCGCCAGCGCGACGAGACGTTCGCTGCGCGCGGAGCTCGAGGCGCTCTACGAGGAGCACAACCCGAGCAAGCTGGCGGACGTCGACGCGCTGGCCGCCAAGTACGGCGAGGCGAAGCTGCTGGCGATGGCCCGGAAGAAGTACGGCCTGCCGCCGCCGTCGGCCGCGGCGCCGCCGGACGGCGCCGGGGAGCCGCCGCCGGTGAAGGTCCGCGACCTCCGCATCACCCCGGCGTCCTGCGGCCGTGACGACTTTCGAGAGATTCGGGGTGGAGAAATCGTCACCGACATGCTCGGTAGGCATCACCGAGGGCGACCGGCGGCAGATGAGCGTTGGGACCGTGCGCGAGAAGTTGCACGCGATGGCGACGGCGCTCGGCGCGCGCCAGTACGTGGAGCCGACGAACGGCCGCCGCGTCTGGACCGCGGGCGCGCTGCAGGCCGCGGCGTCGGCCTGCGGCTGCCGCGGCGGCGCGGCCGCTCCCTCGGCCGCGTCCTCGGCCGCGCCGTGCCCCTTTTGCTCCCCCGCGGACGACGACGACGCGATGCGCCACGCGGGCGACGCCCGCGCGGAGGTCGTCGCCGCCGAGGTCCTCGCGTCCGGCGGCTCGAGGCTCGAGGTCATGCGCGCGAAACTGCGCGCGGGCGGCATCGCGGGCGGCCTCGGAGCCCCCGGCGGCGGCGGCGGCGGCGGCGGCGGCTGCGGGAGCGGCGGCGGCGGCGACGAGGACGACGTCGACGTCGACGCGCCGCCCGCGGTGTGGCGGCCTCCTTAAACAACAATTAGGTGTCCTCGGGGGCCGATACGCGGTCGAAGCGCAGCACGAGCTCGCAGTGCGGCGTGTGGGGGAACAGGTCCACGGGCGCGGCGCGCGTGAGCTTGAAGGGCTGCGTCTGGCCGCCGGCCTTGCATAAGAGCCGTGCCGTGTTGCCGAGGCTCCCACCCTTGACGACGTAGTCGATCCGGCAGTGCGTGCCGCAGGGGTTGCAGGACACGAGGACGACGCGCGTCACGCGCGGCTCGCGGCGGAGCGCCTTGGCGACGGACGGGTTGAGCCCCGTGCGCGGCGGGTCGAGGACGACGACGAGGTCGCCGCCGTCGCCCGCGAGGAGGCCCGGGAGCGCGTCCTCGACGCGCGCTCTCGTGACGCGCATGGCCAGCCCGTTGAGCGCCGCGTTGTGCGCCGCGTCGTCGCAGGCCGCGCCGCAGAGCTCGACGCCGTCGACGCGCGCCGCGCCGCGGTGCGCGAGCCAGAGGCCGAGCGCGCCGCCGCCGCAGCACGCGTCGAGGACGCGGGCCGGGGGCGCGCCGCCCTCGGACGCGAAGGCCGCGACGGCGTCGAAGAGGATTTCGCACGCCGCGGAGTTCGTCTGGAAGAAGGCGCCCGCGGACACGCGGAACCGCAGCGGGCCGACGCGCTCGACGTAGGCGCCCGGCTTCCGCGCGTCGTCCCGGGCCAGCAGCTCCTCGAGCGGCCCCCGTTCGTCCGCCCAGGCCACGGAACCCACGGCGACGCCCTCGCTCCGAGCCGCGTCCGCGACGGCCGCCGCGACGTCGCTCCCGGGCCGCGCGCCGCCCTTCAAGATCACGACGGCGTCGTCGCCCGCGCCGCGGCACACGACGGACGCGAGCGCCGCCGGTTGTTTCTCCGCGAGCGCCTCGGCGACGCGGACGGCCCAGGGCGGCGCGAAGGGCACGCCGTCGGGCGCCAGCACCGCGTCGCCGGCCCTGAACCCGACGACGCCGTCGGCGCCGACGTGGAACTCGAGCTTGTTCCGCGGCTGCGACGCGCCCGCGTCGGCGAAGAAGGCGTCGAAGGGCTCGAGCGGCGGCGCCGCGACGCCGAGGTCGTCGAGCGCGCGCGTGAGAGCTTCCCGCTTCGCCGACAGCTGTTCCGCGTAGGGCGCGCGCCAGAGCGGCGCGACGGCCGTCCGCACGTCCGCCGGGTCGCCGCCCTTGAGCAGCGCCGTGAGAGCGAGCGGCGGCCGCTTCGGCCGCTGCTCCCGCGCCGCCGCGTGCCGCGCGCCTGTGCCGAATTCAACCACTGGTTTGGGTGGTCCTGACCAAACTTCAGAATTCTCTAGCTCGGTCACATCGAAGTCGATTCGGCTGATTTTTGGACGAATCGATCGCCCTCGTCGAGTTCTCGAAGCAGAGTCGAAGAGCTCGCATCGAAACTTTCAAATACGCTCACATTGAAGTCGCGTTGAAGATTTGAATTCGGCACAGCCGCGCGCCGAGGCCCCGGCTCCGCCGGCCCTCGCCGTCGTCGCTTAAAGGCGCGTCGTTCAAGCGCAGGCCGAGCCAGCACCGGTTGTCGTGGACCTGGGCGAGCACGTCAAGGTCGAAGGCCTTCGTCGAGCCGCTCAGCGCCGGCGCGGCGACCTTGAGCCCCTCGGCGAAGGCGCGCTTCGCGTCGTCGCTCGAGAACGCGTGGCGGCCGCCGCGCTTGCCGCGCGCGCGGAAGACGGCGGCGGGGCTGTCCGCGCGCGTCTCGTCGTCCATGGCGCGCCAGAGCGGCACGGCGCGCGCGAATTTCGGCCCGCAGGCCGCGGCCGCCGCGCGGATGCTCCGCAAGCCCCGGTCGCCGTCGCCGTCCTTGGGCGCGTCCGTGAGCCCGCAGCTGCCGAGCTTGCAGTAGACGACGTCGACGGTCTTCAGGGTTCGCAGCGCGCCCGCGACGTCGCGCGCCTCGCGCGACGCGGCGACGGCGAAGAGCACCTGCCCGGGGATGCTCCGCACGCCGCGGCTCGGCTCCATGGTGGCTTCCACCTCTTTGACCGCATCGTCCTCGAGGCCCGTCGCCACCGACGCCCAGAGCTCGAGGTGGTGCGCGTCCTTGCCTTCCATTCAACTTGCAAGGCTCACGCGAAGCCACCGACGCTCAGATTTCACGCGAAGCCGCAGGAGTCCATGCTCCGGCCACAGCGCAACTCGCTGAACGCTCGGTTGGCTTCTTGAACTTCAACTCATTGTGGCCAGCACCTCGTAGGTGCACCGCCGCGGTGCCTAAACACGAGAGGAGGGCGGGTGCCAAAGCTGCGCCCGCCGACGTTTCCTCCTCCGCGCCCGCCGACGTCTCTCCGGCGGCGGCAGCCTCCTCCCGCGGCGCCGCGCGCGCCGCGAAACCCGCGGGCGAAGCGCCGCTTACCCGCGCGGCCTCGCCCCGGCGTCAGTCCGAGGGCTTCTTCTTCGAGACGCGGCCGGCGCGCTCGAGGGACCAGTCCTCGAGGAGGTGCGCGGGCTTGTAGGCGCCGCCGTCGCCGAGGAGCGCCGGGTTCCGGGACGTCGTCGGCGCGCTCCCGAGGCTCGTGTAGCCGCCGTCGTAGAGCGCGCAGTAGGGCAGGTCGAAGGCGCGCAGGAACGCCCAGACGTCGCCGTAGGTCCAGTCGAGGATGGGGTTCACGCGCATGAAGGGCGGCATCCAGTCGCTCGAGGGCTCGAAGGCCTTCTGGTCGCCGCAGTTCGGGTCGCCGCGGCGCGTGCCCAGCACGAACGCCAGGGGCCGCGGCTTGCTGCGCGCCACGAGGTCCTCGAGCCCGGCGACGAAGCCCACGTCCAGCGCCATGGGCTCGACGACGACGTCGCCCGCCGCGGCGACCGCGGCGCACGTGTCCGCGACGAACCTCCTCACCTCGTCGAAGTCGTCGGAGGCGTCGAAGAAGACGAGTCGAGGCGTCGGCGAGGCGCCCGCCTTGAGCGCGCGGGCGTGGCGCGCGGCCCGGAGCAGGTGGAGGATGACGCACGCGTCCTTGCCGCCGTTGAAGCTCGCGTAGACCGCGTCGCCGCCGAAGACGCGGAACGCGTCCTCGAGCACGCGCAGGGCGCTCTCGATGCGCGCCTTCAGCTGCGCGTCGCCGTCGTAGGCGACGAGCGCGCCGTGGAGCTCCGCCGCCGGCGCGAGCGCGCCGGCGCCGGTCGCCGCCGCGGCGACCATGGCCGGCGGGCGCGGCGCCTGGGGCGGCGACGCGAACGCGAACACCGACTGCGAGCTCAGGAGCAGGATAAGAGAGCTCAGAAGCATCGCGCGCGCAGGCCGCTCACGCCCATAGGCGCGCGACAGCGGACGATTTCCTCCACACACACTGCGTCGGCCGATGAGAGGCCGATTGAGTCCTGGACAAAGTTTACCTGCAACTTACTCTTCTCGGACCGAAGCAGAATCGTCGATGGCGGGCAGCGCCGACGGCCTCTGAAGCCGCTCCCGGCCGAGGGACAAAGTTCCCTCAACTTTCCTTCTCGGTCCGACGCCTCGGATCGTCGATGGCGGGCAGCCTCGTCGTCGCCGCCTGCCGGTCGCACCCGGTCGCGCTCGCCGTCGTCGTGTCCTCGGCGAAGACGTCGGCCGCGGACCTCGTCGTGCAGACCCAGGTCGAGGGCCGCGGCGCCGTCGACTGGCGGCGCAACGCCGTCTTCGCGGCCTTCGGCGCGGGCTACCTCGGCGGCGTGCAGTACTGCCTCTACGCGAAGCTCATGCCGCGGCTCTTCGGGCGCTCGGACGCGCTCCCCTGGCGCGCGCGCGCGGCGTCCGTCGCGGCGCAGGTCGGCTTCGACCAGTTCCTGCACGTCCCCTTCGTCTTCTTCCCGTGCTTCTACGTGCTCAAGGAGTCCATGGAGCGGGAGCGCGTCGACGCGGCGACGGCGGGCCGGGGCCTCGCGCGCTACCGCGAGAACGCCGCGGCGGACCTCGCGGGCCAGCTGGCCATCTTCCTGCCGGGCGCCGTCGTGAATTTTGCCGTCGTGCCGCTCTGGCTGCGGACGCCCTGGGCCGCGGGCGTCTCCTTCGTCTACACGCTCCACCTGTCGAGCCGGCGCGGCGCGGCGCCGGACTGAACGCACATTAAAAACAACAACAGAAAGGGGGGGGGGGCGGGTCACGCGCCGAGGTACACGGTCGTGTCGACGGCCCACGTGGGGAGCTGGTTCTGGGGCAGGCGCTGCCACGCGCTGCCGCCCGCGGGCTCCGCGGGCCGCCGCCGCTCGCGCTCCTTCTCCTCGCGCTCCTGGGACTCGGCGAACCGGTCCATGGCGTCCATGGCCGCGCGGGTCTCGGCCTCCTCGCGCGCCTCGGCCTCGGCCGCGAGCTCCGCGCGGCGCTGCTTGTCCGTGTACCGCTCCATGTGGCGCATCACCTCCATCTCGTTCGCCGTGTCGAGGTAGATCTTCCGCCGGTAGCGGGGCACGGCGTCCTTGATGACGACCTTCTCGCCGTGGTCGAACATGGGCGGCGTGAGCTCGCCCGGGTCGCGCCGCGCGTCCGCGACCTCGGTGTCCGACAGATTCCGGTCGCCGAAGTGGCTCTGGTGCGCGTGGTGGTGGCTGAAGAGCCGGCGGCACATGGGCACGCCGTGGCACTTCTCGGCGAGCGCCGCCTCGGCCATGCGGTCCCGGTGGAGCAGGTGGCGCTCGTGCGGCTGCGGGCCGTCGCTCCGCCGGACGACGGGCTTGAGCTTCGTCGTCTTCAGCTTCTTGTGCACGGTCTCGAAGCCCTGCACGGGGCAGTACTTGACGACGACCTTGGTGTCCTCGTGGTGGGACGGGATGGGCTCGAGCTTGTTCTTCGCGACGAGGTCCTCGACGCGCGCCTCGGCGTGGAGGATCGCGGCCTTCTCCAGCGCCTTCTTGCGCCGCGCGCGCTCCAGCGCCTTGGCGTGGGCCGCGGCGCGGAGCCGCTCGGCCTCCTGCTGCTTCGTCTCCCGGTGGCGCAGCACCTTGGCGTGGTGCTTGAGCGCGCCGAGCCGGACCATGGACCTGCGAGCGCGCGCGCGAGGTCCGGGTCGGGGGACGGCGTTTCGTCCTAGGCGCCGGGGGCCGCGCAGGTGGCGCTGGGATTTTTCGTTGCGCCGCTCGCTGACGCCCGCGATGCGGACCTTGTAGTTCGTGCTGAAATTCGGCGCCGACGCGGACTGGCCCAGGGCGCCCGGCAGCTTGGGCAGCTTCGGCTGGGCCATCGTTTGTGCTGCCGCTCCCCCGACGGCCGAAGCGGCTGCCGAGGGAGACCTCCGGACCGCTGTCGAGGGCCGCGGGCTCCGCCGCGGCGGCGCGCGAGGCGCCGACGTTCAGAGACCTCGGCCAAGAAGGTCGTCGGCGCTCTGTTAATCAACAGCCTTGATGTTATGAGTGTTTGGATTTTTGCCCTCAAACATTGCACCCCACCCCATAGCGCTAGCGCTGATAAAAAGCCGCAGCGACCGCTGGTGGGCTGCCATGGCGTCGCTCGACACGGGCGCCTACAAGGACCTGTACCACGACTACGCGTCGGACGACCAGGCGCGCATCGAGGAGCGCAAGCTCGTCGGGGGCCTCGAGGGCGACGCGCTGTACGTCGACGCGACGTTCCCGGCGTCGGGGTCGAGCCTCTACTACAACGAGCACCAGCCGCCCAAGTACGGCATCCCCGCGGAGCTCGTCGAGTGGAACCGCATCGGCGGCCGCGAGATCGAGGGCTGCGTCGAGCCCGTCTTCGTCTCCGAGGCGCCCGGCGGCGGCGGCGTGAAGCAGGGCGCGCTGCGGGACCGGTGGTTCCTCTCCGCGCTCGGCATGGTGGGCTCGAAGCCCGAGCTGCTGTCGCAGATCCTCGTGAGCAGCGCGCTCTGGAAGAAGGGCATCTACACGGTCAAGTTCTTCAAGGCGGGCAAGTGGCGCTACGTGCACGTCGACGACAAGATCCCCTGCGACCGCGGCGGCCGGCCGCACTTCGCGCGGAGCTGCGACGCGAACGAGGCCTGGGTCATGGTCGTCGAGAAGGCCTTCGCGAAGCTCCACTCCTGCTACGAGGCCATCTGCGCCGGCGGCCTCGAGGAGGGCCTCAAGGACTGCACGGGCGCGCCGACGAGCCTCTTCGACATCGCGTCGCCGGAGCTCAAGCCCAAGACCGAGGACGGGTCGCTCTGGACGGAGATGCTCGACATGATGGCGCGGGGGTCCGTCGTCGGCATCTGCGACAACCGCAAGGCCCGCGAGCCCCTGGACCCCATCGGCATGGACAACGCGCCCTCCGGGCTGCTGAAGTCGCACGTCTACGTCGTCGAGAAGCTCGTGTCCTGCGAGGCCGAGGCGACGGCGGAGTACGACGCGCTGGAGACGAAGATGGTCATGCTCACGAACCCGGCCCGGCTCGGCGCCTGGAACGGCAACTGGTGCCCCGACGGCGCGCTCTGGCGCCAGTACCCGCCCATCGCGGCGGCGTGCGGCATGGGCAACAACGGCGAGGACTTCAAGGCGCAGCACCCGTCGAGCTTCTGGATGGAGTGGGCCGACGTCGTCACCCAGTTCGACACGCTGCTCCTGACGCAGGAGTACTCCAAGGAGGGCGGCAAGATGACGTACCGCGGGTCCTGGATCCCGGGCGACGCCAAGTCCGGCGCGGGCGGCGGCCCCGCGGAGTCGACCTGGGGCTCGAACCCCCAGTACGTCTTCGACGTCACCGAGGTCACGCGCTTCTGCGCGTCCCTGAGCCAGGCGGACCCCCGCTGGCACGAGGCGGGCATCGCGCTCGCGGACGAGGCGCCGCCCATCGGCTTCACGATCCAGCACGTGCCCGGCGGCCGCCGCGCGGCCAAGTACAAGGCCTCGGCCTGCTCCGGCGGGCCCCCGGGCTTCCAGGCCCAGCGCACGGTCACCGCGCCCTGCCTCCTCCAGCCGGGCTCCTACGCGCTCGTGCCCGCGACGCTCGCCGCGGGCGCCGTCGCCACGTCCTTCGTCGTGGAGCTCCACGCGGACGCGCTGATCAACTTCCAGAACGCCGACGACGACATGCCCGACCTCGACGTCGAGGACGACGACCCGGACAACGTGTCGCCGGGCGACGCGGACGCGGCCGCGAACTACGCCGCGCTCCCGCCGGCGCCGCTCCTGCCCGAGCCCGAGGGCCGCGAGCTCCAGGCGCTCTGGTCCCAGGCCGCGAACCTCGCCGCCTACCTCAAGTCCATCACCGCGCAGAACGCGGAGCTCGAAGCGAAGATCCTCCAGCTCGAGGAGGCCACCTCGGACTAGCCCGTAACCCCCAGCCGCTGCCCTGTCGACCACCACGCTGCCCGCGACATCATCGCACCACCATGCTCTCAGTCACGGCACCGGGGCTCGAACTCGTGGGCATGCTGGCTCGACGCAAGTCGGCTGGCCGCGTGGTCTACTCAGGTCAGGGAGGGGGCAAGTAACATGTGTACGCGAGCACGGCGACGAAGAGAGCACGACGAAAGGGCGGCTACCGCTCGTAGGCGACATGTGTGGTACTAGGTGCCCGCGTGCCCGGGACTCTCTGCCGCGGCGTAATTGTCTTACCACAAGTGCGTCGACCTACGCGTCGGGTTTGCTTGCCCGAGTGGAATCTTGGCGCGAGCCTGGGAAGGAAGCCCGCGGCCGCCGCCGGCCTCGGTAGAGAAGCGCGGCGGCGGCGGGTTGAGCTCCAGGAGCACGGCTGGGAGTGTGTCCATGGAAACGGGGAGCGCTCTCGCGGTGAGAGCGCGGAGGGACGACCGCGGCGACTGCGTACGAGGCTTCGCTCGTAGCTGTGGACGCGGCGGTCGCTGGAGGTGTGGAAGCCGTGCGAGATCATGAAGCCCGCGTCGTTCAGGGCGTGGCCTGGGCCGTGGGCATGGCCCGCGGGGTGGGTAATTCCCGCGGATTGGAAACTACGGCCGAAATTACCCGAGGTTGGGCACTGGCGGGGCGCCCTTGGCGCTGGCCGCGGCATCATCTGCTCCAAAATTGTGTCGTACCAGCTTTGCGACCTCCTCGCTGAACCACCAGTGGCAGAGATTGTTCGTGCAGGGCCTCTTGGGGCTCAACTCGACGATGTTGGGGCACGTGGTGGCCGCGATGTACGCAAAGGGTATCTGGTCTCGGTCCGAGTTTTCGGGCTTGAAAAACTCGGCGCTCCACGCGTCGAACAGGGCGTGCGCATTGCGTTGTATCAGGAGAGCCCCATCGATGTACGTCTGACACCGTGTGTGCGACGCCATGATCTCGGAGTACCGCTTCACCTGCGCGACGAGCTGGTCTCTCTGACCGATGCGTCCCGAATTCATCAAGAGTTTGGCCTCCGTTTGCATCCAGGTCATCGGCGCGCAGCCGGTCAGGCAGGTGGGATGCTTATACGCCGTGAGGAAGGTGTCGCGAGCGAGGTTGGAGAGCGCCGTCAGATCGGCCTTCATGCGCAGCTTCGTGTCGAAGAAGACGCTGACGCGGCCGCCGAAGAGCAGGTGCGGGACGAGCTTGGGAATCTTGCTAAACTTGCGATTCGAAAACTGGCGGGTCGCGTTGGTTCGCCGATGGACGATCGTCGTCATCTCCGCGTTTGGATTGGGACCGCTCGCCTCCGAAACGTAGAGGAGCGCGCACCGGCCGGAGGAGCGCGGAGGCTGGACGAGCGGGACGGCCCCTCGCACAGCGACCGACGAGTACGCGACGACCGTGCAATTCTGTATGGCCAGCCGCGTCTCGCGGTACGTCTCGGGGTGTATAAGCTCGCCCGTGACGGTGATCGACGAGAGGCCGCTGGGCCCCGGCGACCGGTAGACGATCTGGTGGTTCAACCGCGTCACGGACATGCCGCTCGGGTGGTCGTCGGCGGCGTCCGGCGCGATCTGGGTTGGGCAGGCCAATCTGAGTTGGCGCCTCGCTTGGTCGGCGTCGCACTGGTCTTGGGCGATGGCGTCCTTGACGATGCGGAGGAATTGAGGCACATAAGTCGGATCCCGCTTCGTCTCTTTTTTTTCCGCCGCGTCGCCGCAGGCGTGGGCGATGATCGTCCGCGTGCGAATCGACTTGTGGACGATTCTGATGGGGTCCTTTCCCGCCTGTCGAAACGAACAGTCGTAGCCTCGAAAGTTCATCGTCGCCGGGAGCGCATGGGGCCTCCTATGCAGCGTGTGCCAGTAGAAGCTCTGTAAAAGGTCCTGCTCCGTGACGAAGGACCCGGGGTCCGTGTTTGCGTACGCGCCGAGGTCGTAGTGGCGCCAGAGTTCGTCGTGGTCCCTCTGCGAGGGTTCGAAGACGACGACGCCCGAGTTCCAATAAATGTCCCGCTTCGGGACGCGCTCGCCGTCGACGTAGATGGGCTGCTCCCAGAGGTCGTCGGGGATGCCCTTTGGCCGGCACGCGTCGTCCATGGGCCACGCGGCGGGCACTTGGGGCACTTGCAATAAAGACGTCGCGTTCCGAATCACGACGGCGTCCGAGTCGATCCAGGCGACGCGCCTCGCCTTCGTCACCTCCGGGTCCCAGGCGTGGAGCTTGTGGAAGGTATAGAGCCGCTTGGGCTCGGCGTCGGACGACATGGTCTTGGGCCGTCGTCGCCAGACGTCGCCCGTCGCATTCCAAGGGCGCAGGCCGGGCGACTCGATCACTTCGGCGCCGGCGCGGCTTAAAATACCAACCTCCTCACTCGTCAGCCCGCTCACGAGCATCAACGGCCTCGGATCCCCACGACTCATCGTCGTGAGCATGAGGCTGCAGACATGGATGGCGCACTGCGTGATTAAAGCCTTGCGCTCCTGACCGGTTTGACGGTCCGTCGCGACGCACATGGACATGTACACTTTTCCGTCGGGCTTCTCGGCGGCGACGTCCAGGGCGATAGTGGGGCCTTGTGCCGCGAACCTGGCGAAGAGCGTGGCGATGATGACGATGAGAAGATTCATGATTTTGTGAATTTGATGCTTTTTCGGTGATTCGAACCTACGTAGGTGTTCGCTCCGCGACGACGATCGACGGTCGACGACGCGCGGAAGGCAGAGGCGCGCCGCGGACCGGGGGGGGGGGCGAGGTCGGAGAGCGACGCCCGCGCGCGCGCCACTGCAGGCGTGTAAGCCGCGTTTTGGCGGGTACCCGATGGTCGCGGCGCGCCGGCCGCCGGCCGCGCCGCGCAAGAGCGAGTCGCTCTTCGCCGTCGTCGAGGTGCCCGCCGCGGACCACGCCGCCGGCGGGCCGCGAGGTGGGAGGCCGGGCTCGCATGCGCTTGACGTGCACCGAGGACTCGAAGACGTAGCGGAGCGGGTCCCGGCGCGCCGGCCGCCGGCCGCGCCGCGCGAGAGCGAGTCGCTCTTCGCCGTCGTCGAGGTGCCCGCCGCGGACCACGCCGCCGGCGGGCCGCGAGGTGGGAGGCCGGGCTCGCATGCGCTTGGCGTGCACCGAGGACTCGAAGACGTAGCGGAGCGGGTCCCGGCGCGCCGGCCGCCGGCCGCGCCGCGCGAGAGCGAGTCGCTCTTCGCCGTCGTCGAGGTGCCCGCCGCGGACCACGCCGCCGGCGGGCCGCGAGGTGGGAGGCCGGGCTCGCATGCGCTTGGCGTGCACCGAGGACTCGAAGACGTAGCGGAGCGGGTCCCGGCGCGCCGGCCGCCGGCCGCGCCGCGCGAGAGCGAGTCGCTCTTCGCCGTCGTCGAGGTGCCCGCCGCGGACCACGCCGCCGGCGGGCCACCGCCGCCCCCCGGGGCGACGACGACCGCGCCCCGGGGGGTGACGCCTCCCCCCGGGGGCGGACGGGCGCGATCGCGGTCGTGGGGAACGTTTTTTTTTGGGGATGGCGCGGGCGGCGGGAAGGGGGCGTAAAAGCGGGGCTTTTCGGGGAGGGGGACTTGTTGGGACGCCGGGAGGCTACGAGAGAAGTACGAGGTGTGGCGAGAGTGCGGTGAGCGTGGAAGGTCGAGTTGAGGCGCGAACTCGTCGTGCTTTTGGCGCTCCGCCGTCGGGGCCGAGGCGCTCCCAGGATCCTCCACTTTCGACCCGATTCGCCGAAAATATGCTATTTTACGAATTATGGCAAGGAGGCTACCTAAAAAACAAAACCCGACGGCATGACGGATTTTTGGTGCCGGCCACCGGCGCCCACCCACCCACCTCCCGACCAATCAGCGAGCTCCTTTTTCGTTGGTTGCCTTCAAGTTGCCGCGTCGCGCGCCGCTGATTATCGCTGAATTGCCACACCGCGCGCGCGGGACCGCGCGGCGCCGCGGTTCGACCGGGAGTCGCCGGTGCCGCTGCAGGAGCCGCCACCGTGCAGCCGCGGGTCAGCCGACGAACGCCGGGTGCGGCCCGACTCGACAAGGACACCGCCGTGGCCCATGGCATTTCCTCCCGGCTCCTGGCGCGGTGCGGGACGCGGGACGCGCGCGGCCTCCACGCGCGCGCGCGCGCGTTACAAGTACCCTTTAAGTACACTTCGGGTTTTGAAACCCGACCTCCGGGCCCACCCACCCACCCCGTCATGCCGTCGGATCTTTTGTCCGAGGGCGCCCCCTGCTTCTGGTGCCAAAAACCGTAGGAGGTGGCACACTGGGTGTTACTGCGCGCGCCTACCAGGCTCCATATGTGTATATGTTAGCTCGCTTGTGTTTTGTCGATGCGCTATCACGCGTCGAACTCGAAGACCCCGTCGAGGATGAGCGCGTCCCGCAGCCCCGTGTAGAACAGGCTCCGGAGCGGGATGACCGCCGCGACGACGATGCCGTTGTAGAGCACGCGCGCCGCCGCGCCGGCGAAGAGCGCGTCGCCGCCCTCCGTCGCCGCGATGCCGCGGAGCGCGCCGACGACGCCCGGCGCGCGCTCGTTCGACGCCGTCGCGAGGAGCGCGCGCGTGCGCACGACGTCGAGCGGCGTCGTCGCCAGCGCCGCGACCGCGGCGACGACCGCGGTCCGCGCCGAGGCGACGCCGACGCCCCGGCCGTTCGGCGGGAACTCGGCGTCCAGCAGCGCGACGCCGACCAATCGCAGGAGCGAGTAGGGCACCTCCGTCGCGACGAGCGTCGGGTACCGCCGTCGGCCGACGTCGAGCGCGTCGCCGATCGACGACTCGGCGCCCGACAGCTGCGCGCGCGCGGCGAGCACGTCCGCCGGCGCGCGCACGGCGATGGACGCCGCCGACGCGACGGCGGCGACGCCGACCGCGACGAGCAACGCATCCCAGTCCGCGCCCGGGCCCTCGGCGACGGCGCGCTTCGCGAGGTCCCTCACCAAGTAGTACGTGGCGGCCGCCGGCGCGGCGGCGGCGATGGACGGACCCGCGCCCGCGTAGAGGTCCGCGAAGATGTCGTCGCCCTCGAAGTTGCCCTGCGACCGCGTCTTGACCGTCGACAGCGGGTGCAGCGCCGCGACGCGCGCGACCTCCGTGAGCCCGCCGGCCGCGAACCCGGCGAGGGCGAGTTCCGCGTTCGACACGCCGCGCGCGAGCCTCCGCGGCGGCCGCAGGCGCTTCGGCCACCACGGCGGCAGCCGGAACTCCTCGAGCACCTCGCCGCTCGCGGGGTCGACGACGTTCTCGACGAGCAGGTTCTTGCGCTGCTTGACGACCATCTTGTTTTTGGAGAGAGCCTCGCTCACGTTCGCGCGCGGCGTGGAGGCATTGATCGCGCGCGGCGCTGTGGGCGACGTGTTATTCGTCGACGCGACGGCAATACCTGGCGCCGCCGCGACCAGTGCCGCGACGCCGCGCAGCGCTTCCCGCCGATGAATGCGGCGTTGCTGCGGCGCTTCCCGCCGATGAATGCAGCGTTGCTGCGGCGCTGCCGGCGACAATGTCGCACTTCTGTGCAATGACGCTGTAAATAGCAACCAAAGCATCGCCTCACAGTCGCTCAGAACTCACATCCGCCGCGACATGCTCACGCAGCTGCGAAATTCAACATGAATTCAACGTTCGACTGGGAGCAGCATCCCCACGGTCGCTTGATATCATCGAAAGCCGGGATTTGGAACTCGGTCTTATGGAGAACTCCTCCCGCTCGGCAGCCCCGTGCCGCCCCACTGCGGGCCGCTCGGCCCGCGCCAAGCCGGCGGCGCCCTGCGCGCGCGTCCTGGGGGCTGCGTCGTCGAAGACGCGGTCCTATTTCATGACGTCTTTGCCGAGTTACGCGACGCTGCGTCCGCGCTCGCGGCGGTGGGCTGGAAGGGGCGCGCCGTCGAAGTAACGTAATATTCGAGCGTTTTTGGCCGCCCCATGGTACCAGGAATGGGTTCCGCAACTTTTATTACCTTACTTTTGCGACCTCCGGCCCCGGGACGGCGCGGCGCGAGGCCGCGGCGCACAACCTCGGGGCACTCTCTATCGACAACCTGGGCCTCCACGGCCAAACCCGCGCGACGGAAGGCACCCGGGGTGTCTATGAACGATCTCCGACGCTGCACCGCGCCCGAGGCAGCCAAAATCGGGTCGCGTGGCCCCATCACGACCCACAGGACCCCCTAAAACCACCCGTTCTCGCCGAGACGCAATTCGTTTCGCGTCGCTTCTTTTGCAGCGTGCAGCCCTTGTTGCGCGCCTCGAGAGTCGCCGCGGGGGCCATGGGCGCCGTGGTAGGCGCGCGGCGCTAGGGGGCTGCCTTTGGTGATTACATGCCCATCGCGTGTCTCTTCGAGGTTCGTCGGACCGCGTGCTTTCGTCCGAGACCGCGTGCTTTCGGGCTCTGACCACGGTCGACCCCCCCCAGAAGCACGAAACAATTGCTAACGATACCGGGTGGTCCCGGGGGCGGTCACGACGCGTCCGCCCCAGTCCGGGGACGTCCGCGAGGGACGGCGTCGGCCAGGGGCTCGGATGGGACGGCGTCGGTGGTGTGGCGCGCGCGCGCGAAACGACGCCCGCGGGCGAAACGCGCGCGAAAAGCGGACTCAGTGCGCCGCCGCGGTCGTGATCGCGCGCTCGGCGGCCGAGGTGATCGTGTACGTCGCGCGTGGCGCGACGGCGGTGGTGCCGCCGACGACGGGCTGGTCCTCGCGGCCGTCGCCCGAGTCGAGCTTTCGGAGAACGCTCCTGCCGTTCGCGCGGTAGATGCGGACGGTGAAGCGGCGCGTGTCCGCGCCCGTGCGGTCGAAGAGGCGCACCAGGACGACGGGGTCCCCGGGGCGGTACTCCTCGTTGTCGTGCGTCCGCGTCGCGCGGTCGTCCGCGACGACGTAGCCCTTCCCGCCGCTCCCGCGCTGCTCCATGACGCGCGCGAGCAAAAAGGCGTGCGTGCTGCCGCCGCCCTCGCGCTGCGGGCGCCAGTAGTCGCCCGTCTCCAGCGCCACGAAGTCGCCGACGTTCAGCGACTCCGCGAGCGTCCACCGACGGCCCCCAACTAAGGGCTGCCCCGCGGCGGCAACGACGACGGGCTGCCCGTAGAACCGGCCACGTTCGCGGCGCACCTTCGGCTGTGCGCGAAGAAGTAGAGAGTGCGCGCCATGGTCCAAAACCCATGATCAGCAGACCATGCAAACGACGCTATCGACACCGATGTCGATTTCGAGCGGCTGTATCTGGGCTGAAATGCGCCAATTGCGCATTTCAGGCGAGGCGCTGATTGGCTACGCAATGGTTCCAGCGCTTCGCTCCGCTGGAGGCGGCCAGGACCGTCCCCCGCGGGCGCGCCCCCGCGCCACCCACGTCCCAGGGGGGCCTGGGACACGTCCGGCCAGGCGCCGGGGCCGAAGACGTCAACCCTGAATTAAACGGAGTTTCAGGGGGGAGTCGACCGCGACCCTAGCCTTCGTCCGAAGCCATCAAAACATGGGTAAACTTTGCTTTTATGAGCGTCAACCAAATGGCCTCGGGATTTCCAAATCCCGGTGCTGAAGCGACCGTGATCCGGGAGCAGCCCAGCAATGGCTGCCGCTGAGGTCGACGGGATGGACGAAGCAGGAGAAACGATCTGGAATCATGTGTTCGAAGGGCTTCGAACAGAAATTCTATTTCCAGATATTTCCGGGTAATGCACTCCTACGAATGCACTCCTACGTTATATTTTTATCTATGTTGTATATATAGAGAGGTATGTACGGCCCACCTGCGCCAAGTCCACAGTCAAACTCAGATACTAGAATTATGAAATATATTTTGTTTTTCGTAGTGTTAATAGCAGCTGTCTATTTAGCTTATCTTTTTTACAAACTCTGACCGTTTTATGTCACCCTTTTCCAATTCTATCATTGATAGACCATCCTGGAACATTTTCCAGTAAAATGCCGAGTATTTCAAATACAATTTTCGTGTAAAGTCGGTCAATCCGTCTATGTCTATGTTTAGATCACTTTGATCCTTGTCACCAGTTATGATAATTTTAGAATTCTTCCCTATTCTGGTTAACAACATCTTCATTTGCGCAGGACTTGAATTCTGCATTTCATCAGCAATTATTATGGTATCATCAAAAGTCAATCCTCTCATGAATCCCAAAGGAAGGAATTCTATTTTATCTTCACAACAACCGTATTTCTTTAAGTAATCTGTCATGGATTTTCCATAAGGTGAAATCTTATCACTGACATCCCCCGGGAGAAAGCCGATTTCTTCATTTTCTACCTTGGTCTTATTTGATTCATCCATTATATGCAATTTTTGTTTTTTTGGTCTGTTTATCCGCAAGCATTGTTTCAATTTATGACGGAACAGACGGATCATTGTTATTCCCTGTTTATATTCTTACGATATTTCCTAATATTATATTGACTATAGTAAAACTTGTAATATAATATTGTGAAAACCCCAATGAATGGTATTCGTGAGAGTGTTTTAAAAACTGTGGTAAAATTGTTGTCAAACTGTGCGTTGTGTTTGTGAAAACTGTGTATTTTTTGTGTCTTCCCCTTTGTCATCGTCAATTTTAGGTGTGTTGTCTGAAGTTTAACTGGTATTTTTGTAATTCTCGGTTAAAAATGTTGTAAACTTTGTCAGAAAAAATGGCACTTTTTTCATGCTGGCAGAGACCAAAAAAAGAGAAAAAAAGAGGAAAAAAAAAGAAAAAAACCGGCGCCGAAGGCGCCGGAACGGCGCCGGAGGCGCCGAAGAGGCGCCGAAGGCGCCGGAGGCGTAAAAGAAAGAAGGTGGGGACCTTGCTGCGTCCCTCGAACTCCGTGAGAGTAGTACCGAAGCACCATCATCATGAGTGGTCCTGTGCTGAGAAGATGCCCAAAATTGGCCTGTTTGGCCAAAAAAAGTAGCTGGCCTGCGACCAGCAAGCCCAGGAGGAGCCGCGAGGCTCCAGGGGCGTAGGTAGGAGAAACACAACGGGGCTGGCAGAAAGCCAGCTGGGCCAAGCTGCCGCTCAAACGAGCCATATTGGCATGAATTTAGGTGAAAATACAGCCGTTTTGGGACCCTGGGCGTGCCAAAAGGCTCTCTCTGCATCTGCCCAGCAACCCGCGGCGACGTTCGTAACTGGCGATGGACGCGCGACCGACAGAGGCCCCGAGCGAGGCGCGGACGGGGCCGCATCAGGGCCGCGGTGGCCGTCCGCTGGTTCTCGGTCGCGACGATCTCGGCGAGCGTCGCGCGGCGCGCGGTCGTCCAAACCGTGAGGGTCGCCCTCGACGAGCTCCATGATGCCGATGCGTCCGACGGAACACAGCGATGGTGATCGGTCGATGCAAAATTGCGCGCGGACGGCCGAGCGGCGCGTCCTCGCGCGACGGCGGAGCGAGTTCGCGGCGCGCCGCAGCCGGATTCCCAGCGATTTCCAACAATTTGTTGTTGGAGCGCGTCGAACAACATACGGTGGGCGTGTCTGGGCCGCCGGTACGGTCCACGGCGTCGGCGGGCGCCGCCCTGGCCCTCGGCGCCACGGTGTCGCGCTACGGCGGAGCGAGTTCGCGGCGCGCCGCGGCCGGATTCCCAGCGATTTCCAACGATCTTTCGGCGGAGCGCGTCGATCAGCATACGGTGGGCGTGTGTGGGGCGCGGGTACGGTCCACGGCGTCGGCGGGCGCCGCTCTGGCCCCGGCGCCACGGCGTCGCGCTCGGTCCGAAACCGTTGCGGCTCGCGCCGCCGGCACCGAATTGGTGCGCGCCGCGGGTCAGCGGCGTCCATGTGAACCCCTAGGACACGGTGTGACCGCCGGTGGGCCTCCAGGGGGCGCACACATCGCAAGACTTGGCCTGTCGGAGCCTCTTCCTCAAACGCCGACACTGTCGGCGTTTCAGCTCCACCCCCGGCCAGCACGAAATAGGTGCCGTGTTCGGTTGACCTGCTCGCTTCTGTGTCCCGCCGTATTGGGCGGCGCTAGTGGAACTCGTCCTTCTGGGTCCACGCGTCCGTCGCGGCCTCGTTCTCGTAGTAGGAGAAGAGGTCCGTCGGGTTCGCGGCGAGGATCTCGCCCTTGGCGTGCTTCGTGAGGCTCGCGGCGATCATCTCGAAGACCTGGGCGTTGGTGACGAGGGCGATGTTGAAGTCCGCGGCCGCGCGGCGGATGAGGTAGTTGTCCGCGAGGCGCGTCGACTCCGGCGCGTGGAGGTTCACCGCGAGCTTGATCTTGCCGTCGCGGATGAGCGCGACGGCGTCGTCGGGGCCGCCGGGCGCGTCGCCGGCGTCCGTCGGGAAGGCGACCTCGGCGCAGGGCACGCCGCGGCCGCTGAGGTACGCGGCCGTCGCGGCGGTGCCCACGAGCTCGTAGCCGAGGCTCGAGAGCTGGTACGCGGGCGCGAGCGCGCGGTGCGCCAGGGGCTTGGCGAAGCTCACGAGCACCTTCTCGCCGTCGCCGGCCGTGGGCAGCTTCATCGTCGTCGCCAGCAGCGCCTTGAGGAAGGCCTCCTCCTTGTCCTTGCCGAAGCACGCGACCTCGCCCGTCGACGACATCTCGACGCCGAGCGCCGGGTCCGCGCCGCGGAGGCGGCTGAAGGAGAACATGGGCGCCTTGACGGCGACGAAGTTCTCCGGCGCCGCGCCCGCGGTGGGGTAGAGCTGGGGCAGCTTCGCCGGGTCCGGCAGCGGCAGGCCCGCGAGCACGCGCGTCGCGACGTCCGCGAAGTCGACGCCCGTGGCCTTGGACACGAAGGGCACGGACCGCGACGCGCGCAGGTTGCACTCGATGATGCGCACGTCGTTCATGGACGGGAAGGAGCCGTCGAGCTCGTCCTCGGGCCGCGACTCCGCGTCGCGCGCGCGGCCGCCGACGAGGAACTGGATGTTGAACGGCCCGCTGATGTTGAGCTGCCGGACGACCTCGGCCGTGGCGTCGCGCGCGCGGTTCAGCGTGTAGTCGCTCAGGGACTGGGGCGGCAGGAGCAGCGTCGCGTCGCCGCTGTGGACGCCCGCGTCCTCGACGTGCTCGTGCGCCTGCGCGCAGACGACGACGCCGTCCTTGGCGACGCCGTCCATCTCGAGCTCGCGCGCGCCGCGCACGAACTGGGACACGACGACGGGGAAGTCGCGGCTCACCTCCTTGGCGACGTCGAGGTGGGCCCGCAGGGACGCCTCGTCGCGGCAGACCTTCATCGCCGCGCCGCTGAGCACGAACGACGGCCGGACGAGCACGGGGTAGCCGACGTCGTCGGCGAAGGCCACGGCGGACGCGTGGCTCTCGAGCTCGGCCCACTTGGGCTGGTCGACGCCCGCCGCGTCCATGAGCGCCGAGAACTTGGAGCGGTCCTCGGCCGCGTCGATCATGTCGGGGTGCGTGCCGAGGATCGTTCCCCCGGCCTCGTGCACGGGCACGGCGAGGTTCTGGGGGATCTGGCCGCCCATGGAGACGACGACGCCGTTGTCGACCTTCTCCATGTCGTAGATGTCCATGACGCGCTCCTTGGAGAGCTCCTCGAAGTAGAGCGCGTCGCACTCGTCGTAGTCCGTCGACACGGTCTCGGGGTTGCAGTTGACCATGATGCCGCGCCGGCCCGACTCGCGCAGCGCGCGCATGGCCGACACGGCGCACCAGTCGAACTCGACGCTGGACCCGATGCGGTAGGGCCCGCTGCCCAGGACCATGGTGCCGCCGAGGCCGTCCGCGCCGGACGCGACGTCGTCGTCGTCGCCGTGGTACGTCGTGTAGAGGTAGTTCGTCTGCGCCGCGTACTCCGCGGCGAGCGTGTCGATCTGCTTGACGACGGGCGTGACGCCCAGGGCCTTGCGCGCGGCGCGCACGGCGTCGTCGGACGTGCCGAGCTGCTTCGCGATCTGGTCGTCGGTGAAGCCGAGCTGCTTCGCGCGCCGCAGCGCGTCCGCGCCCGCGCCCGCGGCGAGGTCCGTCTTCAGCGCCGCCCAGAAGGCGCCGTCGCGGCCGACGGCGGCGATCTTCTCGAGGCGCGAGAGGAACCAGTCGTCGATCTTCGTGAGCTCGCGGACCCGGTCCTTGTCCCAGCCGCCGGCGTTGCGGTACATGGCCTCGGCGATGGACCAGACGCGGCGGTCCGTGGGCACGACCAGCTTCCGCTCGAGCTCGGCGTCGGCCGTGTCCAGCGGCGCGACGGGCTCGAAGCCCGGGTTCGCCGGGTCGACCATGCGCAGCGCCTTCTGGAACGACTCCTCGAACGTCCGGCCGATGGCCATGACCTCGCCGACGGACGCCATGGCGGAGCCGAGCACGCGCTGGGCGCCGGCGAACTTGGACAGGTCCCAGCGCGGGAACTTGGTGACGCAGTAGTCCAGCGCGGGCTCGAAGCCCATGATCGTCGCGCCGCCCGTGACCGAGTTCCGCAGCTCCGGCAGCGTGACGCCCATCGCGAGCTTCGCGGCCACAAAGGCCAGCGGGTAGCCCGTGGCCTTGGAGGCCAGCGCCGAGGACCGCGAGAGCCGCGGGTTCACCTCGATGATGCAGTACTCGAGGGACGTCGGGTGGAGCGCGTACTGGATGTTGCACTCGCCGACGATGCCGAGGTGGCGGACGACGCGGAGCGCCGCGGACCGCAGCATGTGGTACTCCTCGTTGCTCAGGGTCTGCGACGGCGCCACGACGATGGAGTCGCCCGTGTGCACGCCCAGGGGGTCGAAGTTCTCCATGTTGCAGACCGTGATGCAGTTGTCCGCGACGTCGCGGACGACCTCGTACTCGACCTCCTTCCAGCCGAGCATGGACTTCTCGATGAGGAGCTGGGGCGACACGGCCAGAGCCTTGGTCGCCAGCGCCTCGAGCTCGCCGGCGTCCGCGCAGATGCCGCTGCCGAGGCCGCCGAGCGCGAACGCCGCGCGGCACATGAGCGGGTAGCCGACCTTCTCGCCGGCCGCGAGCGCGCCGGCGACGGAGTCGACGGCGAGCGAGTTCGCGCAGGGCTCGTCGATCTCCAGGCACTTGTTCTTGAAGATCTCGCGGTCCTCGGTCGCGATGACCGTGTCGATGGACGTGCCGAGCACGCGGACGCCGTGCTTGCTGAGCACGCCGGAGTGGTCGAGCTCGATGCCGCAGTTCAGCGCCGTCTGGCCGCCCATGGAGATGAGCACGGCGTCGGGCTTCTCCTTGGCGATGACGGACTCGACGTAGGGCGGCGTCACGGGCAGGAAGAAGACGCGGTCCGCGGCGCCCGGGTCCGCGAGGCGCTCGGCCTCGGACTTGGCCGGGTCGACGTTCGTCTGCACGGACGCGATGTTCGGGTTCATGAGCACGACCTCGACGCCCTCCTCCTTGAGCGCCTTGATGGCCTGGGCGCCGCTGTAGTCGAACTCGCCCGCCTGGCCGATGGACAGGCCGCCCGAGCCGAGCAGCAGCACCTTCTTCGGGAACTCGGGCTGGGGCGCGGACGACGCCATCTTCGGCCAGACCAGAGCCTCCGCCGGCGCGGCGCCGCCGGGCACGCGGCCCGCCTTGTGGCGCGAGCACGCGTCGACGAAGACGTCGAAGAGGTAGTACGCGTCCGTCGGCCCGCCGTTCGCCTCCGGGTGGAACTGGGCCGTGAAGTAGGGCTTGGACGCGTGGACGAGGCCCTCGTTGCTGCCGTCGTTGGCGTTGGTGTAGAGCGTGCGCCAGCCCTCGGGCAGGTCCGTGTCGTCGACGGCGAAGCCGTGGTTCTGCGACGTGACCATGCACGCGCCGGGGTGCAAGGCGTCGAGCACGGGCTGGTTCTGGCCCCGGTTGCCGAAGCGGAGCTTCGTCGTCTTGGCGCCGGCGGCGAGGCCCGTGAGCTGGTTGCCGAGGCAGATGCCGAAGACGGGGCGCACGGCGTCGCCCTCGCGCGCCAGCGTCTTCCGCAGCTCCGCGATCGTCGCCGCGCACTGCTCCGGGTCGCCGGGCCCGTTGGAGAGGAAGAGGCCGTCGTAGTCGTCGAGGACGCCGTCGAAGTCGTGGTCCCAGGGCACGGCGAGCACGCTGACGCCGCGCGCGTTCAGCTCGCGGACCATGTTCGCCTTCATGCCGCAGTCGACCTGGGAACGGGGCGATGCGACGTCGCTTCGACGCGGACGTTCCGCGCGCGCGCGCGCCAAGAAAAGCATCCGCGCTTCGAGACCGTTCCGAGAGATGACCGCTCGTCCAAACATCAGCCAAAACGAGTGGGAAACGGCCGAGATCGGAGCCTCTGAAGTTGGGAACGTCGCGCCCGTTTCCCGCCCCGCGGTCGACGGCGACGACCTTGAGGCGCTCGTTCGGGGCCTCGTAGAGCTTCGGCGCGGCCAGGGACACCTCGTCGACGAGGTGGCGCGCGCGCAACGCGACGGACTCGGGCGCCGCCGGGTCGACGTCGCGCAGCGCGGCGACGCCGCCGTCGCCGAGGCGCTCGATGCGGCCGAGCATCGACCCGCGCTCGCGGAGCACCTTGGTCAGGCGCCGCGTGTCGACGCCCGTGACGCCGGGCACGCCGGACTTGGCGAGCCAGGCGCCGAGGGACTGGGTCGCGTCCCAGTGGCTGTAGTCCGCGGAGTAGTCCTGGCAGACGACGGCCGTCGCGTGGATCGCCTCGGACTCGAAGGTCTTCCGCGGCAGCAGGGGCTGCGCCGCGTCGCGGAGCGTCTCGTCGGGCACGCCGTAGTTGCCGACCATGGGGTAGGTCATCGTCAGGCACTGGCCGCGGTAGGACGGGTCCGTGAGCGCCTCGGCGTAGCCGACCATGCCCGTCTGGAACACGACCTCGCCGAACGTGCCGTCCGCGGGCACCTCGGCGCCGAAGGACCGGCCCTCGAAGACGGAGCCGTCCTCGAGGACGATGGCGACGCGCGCGTAGGTCGACGGGTCGCTGCCGTTCTTGCTCGAGCTGCTGAAGACGACGCCGCCGCGCGCGCGGAGCGCCGCCGCGACCGGCCGCGGCTTGCGCCGCTGGAGCGCCGCGAGCGGGCGCAGCGTCCGCAGCTGCCGCGACAGCTGCTGGGCCCGCCGCGGGCCCGCGGGCGTCGCCCGCTGGATGATCAGGCGGCGCATCATGGCGCCGAGCGAGCCTTGAAAGCGCTGATTCCCGTGTCGAATCGCTGAAGAGCGACGCGCACGGCTGAAGACGAGGAACGCGGCGGCTGCCAAGCAGCGCCGGAGGTAGGCGATGTTTCACGCGGTCAGAGGCGGCGCAGCACGGACCGAACGCAGCCTTCTCACCTCTCGTCTCGCCGGTGCGACGAGAGGGCAAGGCGAGGTGTCGTTGATGGGATGCAATGCGTCCGCTCGCTCATTCGCTCGGACAGTTGTCCTGGCATGGCCCGGCTACGAGGGCTCGTCGCGCCGCCAGCGGGCGGACGCCAGGGTTCCCAAGGTCGGCGAGCCTGGCTACGAGGGCCCGTCGTGCCAGAACGGCACGCAGAAGTGGAACAGTCGGACCTGCTCCAACTCCGGCACCGAGGTCGCCGCGTTCCTCTGCCCCCCGGGCCGGGTGCCGCGGCCGCCGCGGCGCTCGGGCCGCCGCGCGCAACCGAGTGGAATCGAGGCTTATGGTGGTGGACACTGTCGCCGCCGCCGCGCGGTGGCGCCGGCTCGAAGCGACGCCTAAGCCGCCGCCATACGGATGCTAGCGCGCGCGCCGGCCACCGTGAACGACACACATGCCCGGAGAGCACTCAAAGAGAGCGCGCCTGCCGCCTCGAGCACTAGCCATGTCGACGCCGCCGCTCGTCGGCGTCATCATGGGCTCCGACAGCGACCTGCCGGTCATGAAGGCCTGCTGCGAGATGCTCGACAAGTTCGGCGTGCCCTACGAGTGCACCATCGTGTCCGCGCACCGCACGCCGCAGCGGCTCTGCGAGTACGCGTCGGGCGCCAAGGCGCGGGGCCTGCGCGTCGTCGTCGCCGGCGCCGGCGGCGCGGCGCACCTGCCGGGCATGGTCGCGGCGATGACGACGCTGCCCGTCGTCGGCGTGCCCGTGAAGACGTCCGCGCTGTCGGGCGTCGACTCCCTCTACTCCATCGTGCAGATGCCGCGCGGCGTGCCCGTCGCGACGGTCGCCATCGGCAACGCGACGAACGCGGGCGTGCTCGCCGCGCGCATCCTCGCGTCCGCGCCGGGCATGGACGCGCTCGCGGCCCGGCTCCAGGCCTACGCGGACGCGCAGCGCGACGAGGTCCTCGCCAAGGCCGCGACGCTCGAGGGCGCGGGCCACGCGGCCTACCTCGCCGCCGACGGCGCGCCGAAGAGTTCCACGGTCATGTAGGACGGACACGTAAGCGCGCTACACGATGCGCCGGCCCGCGCCGAGCTCCGCGAGGAGGCACGCGAGCGCCGCGTCCGCGGCGACGGGCTCCGGCGAGATCTGGTTCACGAGCACGGCGACGCCGAGGCCGTCCTCCGGGTCGGCGAAGGCGAACATCTGGCCGAGGACGCGGGCCCGTCGCCCGCGGCGTCGCGCGCGGCCTCGAAGTCGCGGTGGAGGTCGTCGACCTGGTACGGGTCCAGGATGGGGCCGCGACCGGATTCCACCGCGCCGCCGTGCGCGAGCGCGCCGTAGACCGCGGCGAGGCCCGCCGCCGTCGCGTGCATCGTCGTCGACGGCAGGAGCACGGACGCGCAGGCCGGCTCGTTGATGAGCCGCGGGTCCGGCACGACGCCGCCCTCGCCGAGCGCGGCGCCCGCGGCGTCGACGACGTCCTCGGGCACGCACGTGAGCGCGAGGCGCTCGAAGGCGCGGAGCGCGTCGCCCGCGCCGTCCTTCCGGGGCGCGAGGCGCGCGGCGACGTGGCGCTCGACGCCGAGCGGCTTCAGGAGCCGGCGCGTGAGCAAGGCGTCGAAGGGCTCGCGCCGGGCCTCGTTTCGCGCCGTCGCGAGCCGCTCGAGCGCGCCGCCGACGAGCCAGCCGTGGCTCACGGCGTGGTACTCGTAGCGGCCCCGCGCCGCCGGGTCCGGCGCCGCGTGCTTCGCGAGCCACCGCTGGCAGCCGCGCCAGCCCGCGGGCGACGCGTCGCGGCGCAGCGCGTCGCCGTCGAGCGCCGCGAGGGCTCGCGCGAACGCCGGCGGCGTCGCGCCCGCGAGGCCCGCCCGGTGCTCGAGGAGCTCGCGGAACGTGATGCTCTCCTTGCCCCGCGAGGCGAAGAGCGGCCACTTGGACGCGACCGCGTCGTCGTAGGCGAAGGCGCCGTCGGCGGCGCAGCAGTACGCGAGCGCCGCCGTGACGCCCTTGCCGCCGGACCAGATGGGGAAGAGCGTGTCCTCCTGCACGGGCCGCCCGTCCGTGGGCCCCCGGTCGCCGCACCACTCGGACACGACCTTCCGGCCGTACTTGTACGCGCAGACCTGGATGCCGCGGGCCGCGCCGGACGCGCAGAGCTCGCGGAGGCAGTCGAAGACGCGCGACCCGGACGCGTTCGGGTCGCCCGGCGCCCGCGGCGGCGGCCGGAGGCTCGCGCGGCGGTGCCGCTCCGTCGCGAGCGCGAGCCGCGCCGCCGGCCGCATGGCCCGGAGGTAGCTGTGCGACGCGCCGAGGGACACGGCGATGCCCCGGAGGCAGCCGACGACGCGCAGCACGAACAAAATCGTCCCCGGCGTCGCCTGGGACGCGTAGAGCTTGCCCGTCGCGCCGCAGACGTGCTCCGGCGCGTCGCCGCCGCCGCGGTCGTCGTCGTCGCTCTCCGTGTCCTCGCGGTCCGCGTCGTCGTCGCCCTCGTCGATCTCGCTCGCCTGGGCCCGCGGCGACGCCGCCTGCGGCGCCACGGGCCGGAAGTCGAAGCCGAAGAACGGCGCCGGCGCCGGCGGCGGCGGCGGCGCGCGCGGCGCCGCGGCCGCGGCCTCGGACCGCCGCTGCCGCTGGCGGCGCCGGTCGTCGAAGGCCGCGCGCTGGGCGCGGCCGCCGCGCCGCCCGCCGACGGACGCGTCGCGGAAGAGGAACTGGGCGACGTCGAGCGCGTGGCGCGCGTCGAGGCCCTCGCCACCGCGCCCGGCGAGCTTGTCGAGGCTCAGCGCGCGGACGGCCGCGACGACGCCCGCCGCGTCGCTCTCCGCCGCGGCGAGGACGAGCCGCGCGATGCCCAACCGACTCGGCTCCGGCAGCACCTTCGTCAGCCCGAAGTCGAGGAGCACGGGCCGGCCGTCGGATTTTCGCACGAGGATGTTGCCCGGATGCGGGTCCGCGTTGAAGCGCCCGTCGATCAGGATGTTCGTCGCGAAGGCCTCGCTGATGTCGCCCAACAGCTCGTCGACGTCGACCTCGAGGCGCGACAGGGCCCGAGCGTCGTTGGGCTTGACGCCGTCGACGAACTCGAGCGGCAGGAGCCGCGCCGTCGGCCGCACGCGGCCGCTCCGGATCACGCCGGGCACGGTGCAGGCGCAGCCCGCGGACCGCAGCGCGTCGCCGACGAGGTCCGTGTTCAGCGCCTCGCGCTCGAAGTCGAGCTCGCGCTTCGTCTCGTCGATCCACTCCCGCAGCAGTTCCCGGAAGTCGTGCTCCGGCTTCTGCGCCGCGACGTACTCGCAGAGGTACGTGGCGTTCTCGAGGTCCTGGAGCACGACCTGGCGCACGCCGCGGTGCTGCACCTTGAGCACGACGTCCGCGCCGCCCCTGAGCGTCGCCCGGTGCACCTGCGCGATGGACGCGGCCGCGAGCGGCTCCGCGCTCACGGACTCGAAGAGGTCCGCGAAGTCGGCGCCGAGCTCCTCGGCGAGCGTGGTCGCGACCTCGCGGTAGGGCCGCGGCGGCACGCTGTCCTGGAGCTGGGCCAGCGCGGCGATCCAGGGCTCGGGCAGCACGTCCGTGCGGCTGCTCATGAACTGCGCGAGCTTCACCCAGAGGCCCAGCAGCGACGTCGCGTGCCAGACGGCGACGGACGCGAGCCGCGTGTGCGCGTCGGCCCAGTGCTTCTCCAAGGCCTCGCCGTAGAGGTGCTCCGCCTGCTCCTCGTAGGAGCAGTAGGTGTTGAAAATGTAGTAGGCCGCGCCGTAGACCTGGAGCCGCCGCGCGAGCAGCGCCGCGCTGTGGAACGGGTAGAGCAGCGTGTCCGTGACCTTCTCCGTGAGGGATTGGCCCGCGGGGGGCATCGTGGCGGCCGCGGCGATGACGACGGCTCAGAGGCTGCCACGGGAGCAAGCTTCGACGGCGTCCATGCCCACGCGGGATAAGGAGCTGTTTGCCACACCACGGCATGGAGCGTTTCTTCGGCGAGGGCCGGGGGGTTAACCGGGGGATGTCTGTGCGCGCTGGTCGACCCGGGAGTACTAGGGGCGCTCGCCCGCCGACCACGTCGCGGTCGGCGAATCCGCCCGGTGGGCGTTCGCGCGAGCAGTCGCGCACGAGGTCTTATGGGTGCCGCTATCCACGAGGCGCTGCCGCGGTTTTGGCCGGGGGTCGCGTCACAGCGGACGTCGACTGCAAAAAGCGATAGTCGACCAACACCGCGTCGCCGTGTGAACCATGGCCGCCTTCGAGCCCCTCGTCGCGCTCTACGCCAAGGCCACGTCCGAGGCCGAGACTGATGCGCGCAAGAGCGCCGCCACCGAGCTCGCCGAGGCCATCAAGGGCCAGGGCGTCGCGGCGATCATGTCGATGGCGCTCCCGGCCAAGGTCATGGCCTCCCTCGCCGAGGCGAAGAACGTCGCGGCCCGCGAGGGCGCCGTCTTCGTCGTCCACGAGCTGCACAAGGCGCTCGGCCTCCACTCCGAGCCCTACTTCATGCTCATGCTGCCCGCGCTCATCGAGCGGTACGACGACAAGGTCAAGGGCGTCGCGGCGGCGGTCGACGCGTGCCTCATGGCGTTCTTCCAGGCGGTGAACCCCTACGCGGCGGCGACGCTCCTGCCCCACCTCTTCACGGGCATGTCGACGATCTCGTGGAAGACGAAGGTCGGGTGCCTCAAGCTCCTCGGCGCGCTCGCGCACACGGCGCCGACCCAGGTCGGCCAGCTCCTCCCCGAGATCGTGCCCAAGGTCACGGAGAACATGTGGGACACGAAGCCCGAGGTCAAGCAGGCGGCCAAGTCCTCCCTCGGCGAGTGCTGCACGGTCATCCACAACCCCGACGTGCAGCCGATCGTGCCCGTGCTCATCTCGGCGAACGCGAACCCCAAGGAGAACGTCACGGCGCTGGACCGCCTCATGGGCACGACGTTCGTGTCCCAGGTCGACCGCCCGACGCTGGCCATCATTGTTCCCGTCCTCGGCCGCGGCCTCCGCGACCGCGACGTGCAGATGAAGCGCAAGTGCTGCGTCGTCGTCGACAACATGTGCAAACTCGTCTGCGACGCCAAGGACGTCGAGCCCTTCATCGACAAGCTCCTGCCCGAGCTCAAGCGCGTCGAGGAGGAGGTGCCCATCCCGGAGATCCGCGCGTACGGCGCGAAGGCCAAGGCGACGCTCGTCAAGGCCATCAAGGACGGCGGCGGCAAGGTCCCCGCCGAGTTCGAGTAGGCGCGCGCGCCGAAATACCCGCTAAAAAAACACAGACTATGCACACTTCGAGTTGCGGAGACCCGGCCCGTCGAAGGGCCACCAGCTAGTTCCAGTTCGAGCGGCATCCATGGACCCGTCGACGTCGACGGGCCACCATGATGCCAAGTCCCCCGAGGTGCGAAGACGCTACACTGTTAGTTGCGTGGCGAGGTTGAAGTGGAGCCCCACCTGGCCCTCCTTGAGGTTCGCGAAGGACACGCCGTCGTCGTCGTCGTCGCGGCCGGTCCGGCCGAAGTAGTCCGCGGCGTCGAGGGCGACCTCGCAGGACTGGGCGATGACGGCGTCGGCGTCCTCGGCAAACTCGGTGAGGATGGCCTCGCAGGCGTCCCAGCAGCCCTCGAGCGCGCCGATGGCCTCCGCGGCCTCGTGGCGGACGATCGCGTGCTCGCCGGCGCGCCGCAGGCTCTCGGCGAGGAAGGGCAGGGCCGCCGGGTGCTGGAGCTGGCCCAGCACGAAGGCGACCTCGTGGCGCAGCAGCGGCGACGAGCCGTCGCCGACGAGCGCGCGGCCGAGCGCGGCGACGGAGCGCT